GGGTATATTCCACTAACAATATGCGATTACAAAAGATCACTACCACCACCAACGATGATCTCCTCAGTCTTTCACAAAATGAATCAGAAGAACAAACAATATATATACATATAAATTAACATGCAAAATCAGAGGTAACAATGTTTTGCGTTTCAATAGATTTAGTCTCGAATCAGTACCTGCAGACTCTTCTTCCTCATCAAACAAGATGCATGCTAGCATCCGAGGAAGACTTCCTGCTATTTTCTTTATCCGAGGAAGACTTCACGGTTCTCCGTCTTCTCATCTGAAAACATGAAATCACAAACGTATGAATAGTGCTTCGGATGTCCTCAAATGCTTGCTATCCCTGCTTCCAAGACACTTCTTCCTTGCGTGGCTTATTTGTGATGAATCATCAGGTTTACACAACAGCATAAATTATTAGTAGCATATACAGTGTAAGCCCGATTCCAAATGCTAAATACTATTGGCCTCAACTTGTTATCGATTCTATCCGATGCAAACCCTCTCTTGGATCCCAGTGACTTGCTTTTCTGAATCCTTCTGCTCTTCAACCGACAACTACTGACCTTCATGAAGACAAGGTTAGATCCCAATGAATATTCGTGTCCATAGTATCTCAATCCAAACCCACCCTTGGATGCCTCCGTAATGGATAGGTAGAAAAAGAAGGGATGGGATGAGTACCTCAGGAATAAGTACTTCGATATAGGTTATCTGTAACTTGTCAGCCAAATGAATAATAGGAAAAAAAAAAAAGGCAGCCAGGTGCCTTCACGAATGCCTTGAGCTAACAAGTTCTATGTCAAATATGAGAGTGCCAAGTGTTGAGCCTTCTCCATTGGCAAGGCGCGTCGGGTTGAATATGGTGGTAAACAGCCTTTGCCGATCAAAGAACTGCAGATCAGAGGAAGTTGAAACATAAGATAGCTCGACAAGTCCAACTTAATATTGAAATTAATCTAATTCTCGACATTGGTGCATAGACAAGTTCAAAGACCAAGAGTTGAATGCATGCCCTAGAATAGATATACTGATGCTTCTTGAGGATGTTCTCAAGGCTGCAATATGTACAAGGCAATAAGAAGCTTCAGAATGAGGCAGGTTTTTGCAGGAGCTAAAGAAACAAGTGCCTCGGTGGAGAGTAAACTACATACATTCGGTGGTATTGGTTCCTGGGATGTGTTCTGATATCCTTGTGATGGTGGTATAATGACACGTCGAGTGCCTCCTACCTTCATTGACTTCACCGCTGCTTCAATGCCAGAGATAACCTATATGAACATAAAGCAGTTCAAACGGGATGATCATAGACATAAAAGACAAAGCCTTCTTAACCCAAAATCTAAATGACTCTACAAAGCTGTTTTGAAGCCGATTTCCCCTCTCGCCTATCTTGTAACAATGTTACTCATACTGTATCTAATTTGCCTCTTGCAAACTCTCCTGCAGCTTTTACCTCACATCCACCTCAACATCCTCGCGCACATATTTACAGAAATAATGCCTTTGAAGATCATTAAATCTTCAAAAACATTATATGTTTTTTTCTTGTATCAAAGCAGGTCTAAAGTCTTCTACTACAATCAACTGCAACCGCCTTATACTTTTCAGGACAGTCTCGAGTTAACAAGATATTAGGTTACACGGAGTTCGATAGCCGGTAAAATATTCAGCTCAATAGATATTACGTTGGCTTGATCCAGTCTTTTGTTGTTGCTGCCGTACATCATCCTTTTTTAGATTGAATTAAAACAAAAAGACTTCCTCTCTTCTCATTAAATCAGCAAATTAACAGAGAGATAATCGTATATCATCCAATAAGAAACCCGCATGATTGGTGGCAAAAGTAACGTTTGAGCTAATGCCCAAAGATCACAACAGCGTAACAAGCGATAAATTGTGCAATGTGGCTTAAAGCAACATACGCATACTCCTTAAACAGCACCGAGGTCCAGTAATAAAAATCGATTTTGATAAATAAAATTGATTTTGTTAAATATAAAATCTAGTGTACCTTTCCAGATCCAAGAACAAATAGAAACGGAACAGGATCACCCATCGTATCCTTGTGATCATAGGTTGAGTCAAAGCGCCATCCTTGTTTTGCTGCCAACCTTCCATAGTAATGAATAGATACCTTGATAATAATAAGCAGAACCGGTCAGCATACTTGATCTTAAGCTAGGAAATTAACCGCTATTGGGATTTATCTGCATAATAGTATAGGAAACGAGAATATACAAGAAAAGACTAAAGAAATGGCATGTTAGTAGCCAGGAAAAGAAAAGCCCACACCCGGCCAGCAAGTCAAGATTCACATAGCTAAAATATGGACAAAGTTACATACAACTTTTTTCTTAGTAATATAAACGAAAACAGATTTGTCTATACTGGATATTTTGACCGAAAATAACAAAAAAAAAAGAAGAAGTTTTAGGCATGAACCGAAGAAAACAAACACAAATTCTACATTAAACTTGAATTCGATCAATATAATTCCAACGTTATTCTCACTAAAATTCTTTAAAGTAATTGCAATTCGTTACAACACATTCGGAAAGCTTCCTTCGATGGGACGATATATAACCAGACCAAGAATGCATCTATATGTAAATGAAAAGCTCTTTACCAACAAGATCAATCGGCACCTATGTGGTATCAAATATAACTTGCTCTCTTTATCGAAACTCAAACCGTGAGTCTCCTTTGATAAACAAGTATTGAACACTCGGTTTCCGGGACCTCCATGTTCAAACTAAATCAATCAGTAGGTTACGAGGTTTAAACCACTTGGTTTAAACCTCGTAACCTATTGGGTATCGACTTTTTGGTCCTTTGTTCTACTTATCCTTTCTTGCCCATTTAACCATCATTCGTCGCACGATACAACCGGATTTATGTCAGAAGAAGCGACAAGAGAATGGCGCCACTCCAGGATTACCTGATCGCCGTCGATGGGGGTTTCACCGGAACCTACGCGGAGGTCGAGGGCCTTCACTCCGCCAGAGCCAGGGATCTCGAAGAAGGCCGGGGCCGAAGGGGCCGGCGACGACGGCGGCGGCAGAGCAGCGGCGGAAGGGGGGAGGTCGAGGAGGGGCACCGACGAGAGGAAGGCGGCGGAAGAGGCCAGCAGAGACCTTCTCGTGGTCAGGCGTGGAATCAGAGGCGTGACAGGTTTAGGAGGCAAGTGGGGATTGGACGAGGAGAGCGGAGAGGCGGAGAGCGTCGGGTAGAGGGCGGTGCCCATTTTCTTGTTCTGTTTTGCTGGTGATCGACTCCAAAATCGTGGAAACTAAAAGGAAAAGGAATCCGCATAAAAATAAAAATATAAATAATTGAGATAAATACTTGAAATAATTATTCCAGAATTATTATTAACTTTGAATTTGGTATTTATTGTCAAAAAATCTTATAATTAATTTGTTATGATGCAGAATAATAATATTTAACAAACGAAAAAGATTAATTTTTATTATGTAGAATAATACGTAATAGACTAAGAAGAATAAAAACGCCGTCTGTGGGAATCGAACCCACGACCACGTGGTTAAAAGCCACGCGCTCTACCGGCTGAGCTAAGACGGCTTTTGATAATGAGGCAGAATAAAATATTTCTAGAGGATGTCTATGAGAAACCGCGTTGCGATCGAACGAGTTGATGCGTCGACACGAACAAACGCGTCGATGGCGACGGCCAGCGAGAAAGTAGCCATTATTATACTCGGCGTCGGCATCCGGTGGCGGGCCCAGAAGAAAGCATCGATCAAGGCTTCGTATGTTGATCTTATCCTCCACGGCCGCGTCGTGCGGTAAAACTGCTGCAAGCCATCGGTTGGCCACTCGAAGGACCAAGTAATTGTTGTCTCGGAGGGGGCGAATAAACATATCCCCATCCTGCTTTGGTAAAGGCGACTATGCTGTGCAGATCATTGTAGAAAAGTCTTCGTTGTGGTGGAAACCAGCGTGTCGGAGGACGCAGGGGAGGCAGCGCAGAGAAGACCGAGGAGCAAGGAGGAAGGGAGCTGGATGAGCCATCGGAAACGTGATGATGAACGCGGCGAGCCATCTCAGGAGGTCCCTCCTCCTGTTCCTGTAAGTGAGAAGAAAAGTAGGAGTTTTCTGTTCATCAGATTTGTTTTTCAGGTTTCTATTTCAGTGATAGGTTCGTTCATAGCTGTAATTAGATCCGGTCACAGCATCTTATGCACGCCGATCGCTACTTGAGATCGTGGATCTGATCCTTGTTCGTGCTCGTGCAAGACGGATCAGTGACTATTGTTGTATGTATGTAATCACGAGTCGGAAGTCAACTCATCTGTTTTACTTACCTCCCTTTGTGTTCTTTGTCGAGGGCGAGGAAGGAGTACAAATAAAAGAGAAGAGGAGATCCGAAAGATGATAACAATGATATCTACCCAAGTTTTCCTACTGTTTTCATGCATAAATATATATTCGTAGCTTATTTAAGATCAACAACCATCGTGATCTCTGTGGAACAGACTGAATGGAGCGGTGAAGAAGGAAGGTACCACATCATGGCAAGAGGCATGAACATAAGTTGGGGCGAAGATGATAGATTCTGGAAGTGGCCTCGGCTTTCCGAGGCAGAGCTTCGTGAGATTTTTTCCATAGATGCAAAGAAGTATGAGATTTAGATTGTCTTCCATCTTTATGTGACACGCTGTTGAGATCATCTCTGCTGACTACCTGCACGCTTATCTTGGATGTCAGCTGGATCTGTGAATGCGCAGAGCTCAATCAGGTGAGTTGGCTGGAAGCAACAAAGACGCTGGACCTGGATGACGAGAAATACAAGAAAGTGTTCGATGGTTACGATACTTGTGATATTTTGTACAACATCAAGTTTAAGGTCGATGCTTTCGGGTGGCATGGCGTCCCCGTCACCTTCCAAGTGAACAACACCCTAACCCCAGCTGAGGGCTATACGAAAGATGAGAAGCTGGAGTCATACAGAAAACGTACCAGCGGGTGGCAACAGATCCATGGTGGCGACTTCAAAATACCTAAAACTGAGAAGAAAGGAGAGGTCAAGTTCGGCATGTATGAAATCAAGAGCCAGAGGTGGAAGGGTGGCATTCTTCTCGCCGGCGTCACTCTCAAGCTTCACAAGTCTGCCACCACCGATTAGATCACCAAAAGCTTCTTCTGGATCTCAGTATTTATTTTATGTGCCCTTTGTTTGATGTACTGTGTTGGGATCATAGCTTCTTCCCTTTAGACGAACCATGTTATCCGAGCTATAAACTTGATGTGTTTCATGGAATGCAAACTTCATGTACTTTCACCATCGTAAAGGGTGATAATAAAGAACATCGTCGCTGTAAAGAAGAATCGGCTGACAGATTGATGATGCAGTCGAAAACATGCAGAATTGTTTGCATTGCTCACCTTAGAATGTCTTATATCTCTCTTGCTGTAAAAGGAGTCCTGGAGAACAGCATGATGAAATGTACTGATACTGACAGGGGATCGAATCGAGCCAGATCATTCAACTTTGACATGCAAAGATTTGCTGCTGGCTCTTTTTGTGCACCGTTTCTAACGATGCAGATTTATCCCAGTCGCTGCAAAGCCTATCGATCTCATCTCCTCCTCCGACGACGAATCCAGTCATCCGCGCTTGATTTGGATTTGGTGATGAAATGGTAAGTTTGGCGTCTGAATAAGATGACAGAAGCGATTGATCTCTCGTCGTTTCGATCCTCTCGATTTGAGTCGATAATAGTCGTCAAGAAAGTTAAATTGAGTAGATTAGATAGAGAGTGGCGAGGAGAGGACAAAGGAAGATCCAAAACAAGCAGATTCCGCGTTCATTCGTCGCTTGGCTTCTCTGACCCGTTTGTCTGGTGCGTGACGACGAAGACATGAATGCCCGAAGCAATCGAGTATTCTATATATCAGCCTGTCTTCCTCTCATCCTTGACATCGACTCCTACGCCTAACTTCTTCTGTGTTGGTGGCTTAATCCATTCGGACCCAAGATGAGTTCCTATGCTCAGCAGCAGGCTCCTCCTCCTCCTCCTCCTCCTCAAGGTAATACCTCTCTCCATGTAATGAAGTCGAGCTTTCCCTTTTCTCAGAGATCATGAACATGCAACGGCAGCTGTTATTTTTGTGTCCGCTGTGTTAGATCAAACACTGTGGTGTCAGTTGATGTTGAAGACAAGCACGCAACTTTTTCTGCTACTTCCACTCGTTCCTTTACAGCTTCTCTCGCTCTAACGAAGTGCGTAAACATGCAGCTTATCCCCCACCACCCAGTTCTTACCCTCCGCCGGAGCAGGCACCGACTTACGTAGCGCCTCCGCCGGCAGGCTATCCGACGAGAGATGGCGGCCTGAGTTCAGCACCGGTTCCGATCGAGACGAAGAGCCGTGGCGATGGATTCTGGAAGGGATGGTGAGAGGCTTTCCTTGATCCGAGAATATCTTCTTCTTCATGTTAATTTGGTCCTGTTCTGACATGGGGGCTCTCTCTGCCCTCGGTTGTGTTGCAGCTGTGCCGCCTTGTGTTGCTGCTGGGTTCTGGATGTGTGCTTCTGAGGATAGCAGCAGGATATATACCGAGACCTCTACTTTTCATGATGCAGTTATCATTTGTGTATTCTCTATGTTGAGTATGACATTTTTAGTATGAGAATTTGGTGTCTGTGAGACTGGGTTGTTCATGCAGTGCTAATTTCACAGATTGATCTTTTTCTTATTTCCAATAGAGCTTTAAACCATGATTGTTCAGTGCTTGCTACAAGGAATTCCTGAAACAGCAAAAAGAAAGAAAGAAAGAAAGAAAGAGGCATTGCTGTGATGGATGTTGGGGGCTGAAGCTCCATATAACAAACATACTTGGTAGTAACATCAAGATCATCCATACTTTGAAGAACATGAAACTCCTACCCAGCTCATTTTGATTGCTCGAAATATGAAGAGTAATTGCACCAGATCTGAACACATTTTTCCCAGGCAGACCATTTGATTGCTCAATCCATCAACTTCATGATGATAACTTGCAGTGTATATTAATTACTCGCAGAAAACTGGAAGTGGAGCCAACAACAGTAACCATCGAAACCTTGAATTATCTATCAGATCCATACTGCAAGTATCAGATGAATTGCCCTGGTGACAGGGAGAGCAAGTTGAGAGTCAAATTTGACAGCTGGGGATTCGCGTATGATGGAATAAATCCCTGTGAAAAGTTGGATTTGCCTTAATATTCAACATACTGGGCGTCTGCAGGTCAAGACATTCTGGAATAAAGGCCCTGTTTTCCTGAGACAAAATAAAAAGAGACACTTTCTGGTTTCTGCAGAGGTAGAATCAAGAATGCCATCCTTGACTTTAGCTCCACTCATCCTTTGTAACCCAAGAGATTCCTTGAGAATTGCCTTTCTTCAATCCAAAGCTATCAGAAAATGCAAAATTAACCCTAATTTGACTTCACATCCATGCCATATTGATATCTTCTGTAAATAACACTCAAAAAAGTAGTTCACATATGACACTTAGCTGCTTCTTTTAAAAAATTCTATTCTCCATGTTGATCAGAATGCCGTCTCTTAGGTTCTTGATCCCCCAAGTGCAGTGAAACGCAAAGGTCTTCACCGGATAAGTTTATTAGTGCAGACACATTCTTCCTTTCCAGATTGTCTTCTTCAGTGCGATGATTAGGAGACATGCTAAGTAAGTTCGGGATAAAATGATGCTCTTCCACATTGTTTGCAACCTCAACCGTATCCACCTGAAACTCTATAGCTACTAAAGGTGCATCAGCTCCTGAACCAGAAGCACCTTCAGGAGGGAACTGCTGAATGTTAATGCCTAGGGGCTCATATATCTCATTAGGCTTTTCATTTGGAAGGTTCCCTACAGTTGGATATGATTTGCCAACATTGGAATTGATAGCAGCTGCTAAAGCAAATCTTTGATCCTGTAGTGCATCTTTAATAACAAGTGAAGGAACAAAATATATAAATGTTTCAACAGAGGAAGGTAGGAAAATATTGCACAGTGATATGAAATATTTTATGGCTCGATGAAAAAGTGAAATAGCAAACCTTGAAGTCCTTCGCTTGTTGTTATAAGATCAAGTTCCAAAAGATCAAGAAGACGACCCAGATCAACTCCACTAGTCCAATTCTCAGGAGCATGGCCACTTTTAAGCTTCAACCTCCCCCTATTCGCAGTCCCACCCCAAATGATACCTATAGGTTTAGGTTTCTCAGCATCTTGTCCTGTTAGGATTATTAGGCTCCCGCTGTCACCTTCCAGATCAAATGTGTGCTGATTCTCACCCACAACAAGTAAATCTGTGAAGAAGCATATCCCTTTCTCATCATTGTATTCAAGAGCATAAGCCATAACAATTCCATTCGTCAATCCAGAGCTTCTTCCAACCTTCACCACCTGTCTCCCTATTAGGCCATTGATTGATGATTGCAGATCTATAACCTTAACATCTCCAATCTCACCCAGTCCTGTCACTGAAGTAGTAACACTAGACATATCAAAGTCATCAGCGAAGGTTATAAATGCCCCATCGGCTCGAACAAAGGTCTCTGCAGGTGCATCAGAAGGCAAGAAGAATGTTGGGAACCAGAACATTATTCAACAGGAACAAGAAAGAGTCATTTGGATAAATTTTGAGGCATGTTTGGGAATCATAAGATCGCAAAATGTGTATAGTAAAAAACAACAAGTCATGATGACCAAACTATTCAGTTTGGATACATGCATCTTTTCCCACTATTGAATGTACAATACAATATCTCTAGTTCAATTAAAGATAATGCAAATCTCTTTTTATTTTTCTAGTGATGTTTTCCTATGATTCCCTCTATCTTTCTTCGCACTACTAATACTAATTGATTCATCTTGTTCAGATAAGGCATATATAGGTCTCCTTTGAACATATTTGTAATATCTTTAATGATTTTCCATCATTTTATCCTGTGGAAGAAACAATTGTATTTATTTAAATCTTGAACAAGGTAGTACAGGTTTCAGTTGCACCAAAATGATCAGCTTTCGAATCATCTTCCAATACATGAGTTTACATTGCTTTTAAAATCTTTTATCACAAAGCTATACCTATATTGATAGCATGACATGACATACAAATGAAGAAGCATTCTTAATAAAAGGTAGCTTTTTATCAGAAAGAACATGGTGTAGAACCTAGATATAAGGCAATGCTATACATGTTAATTCAATGTAATAGCAAAATTTTTAGCTGTATTACCTGGGTTTGTTCCAGCGTAAATCCCATACCAAACATCATCCGTGATGAAAGATGTTGCCCTCTCAACAGCACCTAGGTAGACTCCAGGTCCAAGGTTGGGTGGTAAGGGATGAAACATCTTTTGTTTAGGATAGTCCAGATCAACTGCAACATGGCGGTTTGTTAGGAAACCAACTTGTCTGTTGCCTGTACGACTTTTCACGATGGCACCTAAAGTCCCATATGTCTCTTGGCTCGCAACCTGATAGTAAGAGTAAAAGGTTTTCAAGGTAGAAACTGATAGCTCATACCAGATCAAGTATTAACATGGACAAATTCATGAATTTGATGAATTTAACATTGCACACGCTGCACAAAGAAAAATTTTGATCCCATCCCTAAGCGATAGGGACAGAACAACATGGAACTCTATCTTTGATGTGTTGGCATTAGATGAACTAGTGTAGCTGAACAACACGGAATTCACTATTAACTGGTTGGTGCAACAGTTTTTATGCATATTGCAACAACAGCATGGATAACTAGCACAATAGGCTGAAAAAAAAAAAACAGAGAGCACAAACTGTAACCAACATAATACTCATTCATCAAGCAACCAATGTTACTTTCCATCAGAACTTCCACAAGTGCATATTTTCTTTCATTTGCATGGTTAATGAAATTCCCAGAAGTCATGCATTGCAAATTGATGTATTCATAGATATGCAGTCCAAGGCTTGTAACTCTATACGTGCAAATAAAAACTGAGCTAACAAATATTCAACCATGTCATTACATAAGAAGTACCTGAGACCCTGAACCGATGCACGGGTCACTGCCTCGTAAACCATCTACAAGCTCATTGTACAATTGTTCCTTGGAGGTTGGTGTTGGTACACCATAATAAGAAAATTCCACAACATCCACATCACACCATACACCTCCTGGTCCCTGCTCGTGCCAAAATTAGCATGTATCAATACGGTGAAGAATAACCGAGATAATTAAGGTGCCAAGCAACTACATAAGTCAGAATGACCTCGAGGATGACCATGGTATAGTCTGTAAAGGTATCTAAAAATATATCCTCAATCTAATAACACCAAACCACCAGAAAAAGAATTTCTTATTACCTCAAGGGCAGATGGCAGGATTTGGTCATGGCTGAGCCATTTCTTGTGAACTTTCCGTGCAACAAAAACAATAATTGCTGGAATGTCAGTCAATGTCCCCTTCCTGATTCGACAGCCTATTGCTGTTCCAAGACTGAAACGACGAAGGATTTTGCTGTGGAATGCTCTTATTGTCATTAAATCAAGTAGTGTTGTGGCTTGCTGCCCATTTGGCAGATGGCCAAGACGTCCCGGCAGTACACCTTTCTGAAGGTTCCCAAAATAATTAGCTCGATCTTCAGCAGCACCATGCATTAGAGTAGAGGTAGGCCATGAAAAGAATGCAGCAATACTTTCAGAGTGCTGACAACCAGATGCAACTGGTTGGAGAGGAGATGGATTACAACAAGGTAAGTGGTTGCATAAATTTCTCTCCATGGCCATGGCCAACTCTTGGATTGCGTTGATCCTCAGTGATTCCCCTGTGTCTCCGAAAGCCTCATCGCACATGCTAGGCCCACATCAAACTGATCTGTGAGCTATCAAGCATGCATAGGCTAATTGCCATTGAAAGTGAAACCTGATAACCAGAAAATAAGGCCCCATGCTTTGAATCTCTAGACAGGATGCTCAAAACAGAATCGAAGACTATATAAACCATTGAGAATATAGGGATTGCAAAAACGCCCTAAAAGTTGCCAAAAAAATCATCTTAGTAGAGGAAGAAACCTACACAATACATGAGAACTAAGAAAAGCATATGATAGTAACACTTGGAGAGTTTCTCAGTTACATTCCCTACCTTCCTGAAAGAAGAAAAGCAAAACTCATCCTCAAAGGAGAGCAAAATAATGAAAATAAAAAAAAAATTATCAGAGGTAAGAGAAAAATGTTACACACAAAAATAATCAGAATGAATGTAATCGTGAATTGCATGTGAAAAAAAAAACACGCACACAGAACTTGGAATCTAAAAGTGGATACATGAGAAACAGATTGCGCATTAGAACAAATAATTGCAATAGCAATAAGCGTGTAGATCATGCAGAATTGGAAAGGACATGCAAGTGATATGAAGGAAGAAGAGTGACAGTTTTCACGAAGTTTCAGCAAGTAAGAAGCGCGAAAAGGCGATACCGTTTCTTCCGAGATCGATCCTTGCGCACAATGATCTCGGAGAAAAGGGAAGAAAAGTGGCCCGGATCAACAATCTCGAACCTAATGAATTCCAGGCAAGCATCTCAAGATGGAATCCTCTCTCAGCCCACCTCGCAGACGCCAGATGCGGCGATCAAATTCAAGTCCAATCCTTCTCTTCCGGTCGCACGTAACATAAGACACAAAAGCGTCGGAAACCCGTCCAAGATCAAATCTTTAAGCCTCGAGCAATATTTGCAGGGTTTTCTGGAAGGAAGCAGAAGAATTAGGAGGTGGAAGAGAGACTCACCTCTCGATCAAATGAAATGGAAAAGTACTGAAACAAGGTTTGATCAAAGGATCCTCCGACGCAGGTGTTTCAGAGGCCTCCGTGGGTATGGGGAAAGCTGCCCACCTTGGCCACCGGATCGGAGGAGAGAGAGCAGAAACCACACTCTCTTGGGGGGCAGGCAACCACTGTAGTGAATATACAAGTATCAGGATGTAATAAAGTAGTAGAAAGATAAGATACACATTTTATTTGTGCATATTTCGAAACAGTAAAGATTTTGCTGCAATTAGTGCTTCGCATATCACCAAAGATAAAGATTCATTGTAATGTTCATAGATTACCAAAGAAAAGATGAAAAAGTTACTTCGGTGGCACAACTTTTTTATGGTAATCTTATTCTTTTATGAAGGATAAGTATTTTCATGGATTCGAGTGTCACCACTCGAATTAGAAAGGAGCCATCTTTCCATCCACTGCAGTTCTTCTTATCTCAACATCATGGCCAACATAAGGATAATTATTGCTCTCTCGGTTGGGTCACCCTCTTCGCTTCTCATGATATGGCCTTAATCACAGCTTAGATCCGACAGGAATACACACCACAGCTAAACTGGAGAAGCATTTACAACATGTGAAGCCTTCAACAGAGTGAGAGAAAAAGAGCAACAACAGACAGGCACACGTTCGTCGATCATACCGCGTCACGAGGTTATCGGTGGGGAGTAGCCATGGTTTGATCTCAGCTCAGGTAGATCGTCGGTGGATACGCAGACACAGTCGGTATTGCCCGATAACAATGCCTGACTGACTCCCCAAGCTGTCCGACCGCACACCAGCCTGCCTTGCGGTCCCGTGCGAACACTACCACCGTCGACCTCCGTACCCGGCCAGGTGTAGAGACGACCCCCGTGAAAGATCAAGTCGAGGGTACCTACCGTGGTGCGCGGGGAGAGTCATCGACCTCACGTCCGCTACGGTTTCCCGGACAAATCAGCTCACAACGTCGCGCGTTTTGGTCCGCAGACTTGTCGTCGTGTGCATGGCACGGATCTAACGTGGTTTCAATACGATAGCAGCTGAACGAACTATGATGGAAGTTAGAAAGTTGCCCAAATAATGCTGCAATATGTGTGCATAATAGCCAACACGATTCAACTGCAAACTATGGTATACGGCTGACTCATGTGGACGAGTACTAATCTGTCATGTATTGGAAATATTTCCACACATAATTACAGCACTTGAAGAAAGGAAAAGGAACATTAAGCTACGGCCAGTGTGGCCTGATTTCCAATGAAGTTTATGAGTTAAAGAGCCAAATGAATTGGCACCCACAACAAAAAAACCAATTTCTTCAATAGTAGTCCATCGACAGTGAGGTAGGTAACCAAAACATATTTTTCTGTATGAGACAGCATCCGAAATCATATAATCTAGGAATCCAGCACCCTTACATTAATTACCAGTTGATGCAGAGATCATCGACCTGATCAATTAGACCAAAACCAAATTGATACTTCAATGTCGTTTCTATACAAACTAGGTGAACTTATAATTAATGGATAACTCTCAAAAATACTAGAGTGACTAGGACAAAGATTACTGTAAAAATAATGACAATATATTTAAGTAAAAACAACTTATAGCAATGCAAAAAAAATAGAAGGAAAAAAAAAAAAAAACAGAGCTTTCATCTTCCACGATGATATTGGGTACACTAGAATAGGATTCGCCTTGCATCAAATGAGAAATTAAATTTCATCATGCTACCCAACAACCCCTTATCTCACTAAGAGCTTAGAAGCTCTCTCACTACCAGGTTTTAGGATGTTTAAAGCATTCAACAAAACAACATTTTATTTGTGCTGTTGTTAGAAGCCACTAATCATTACTTTGGTTGGGCTATTTCACTATGCTTTAATTGAAGGGCTATTACATCTACAAAGATCATGCATCAATTATCCAATCCTTCTGATCCTAATCACTGAACCATTCTAGATTTTCTGATAAAAGAGTTCTGTAAAGCACCAATCTTGTGATCAATTCTAAGTTCAAGGGATTACTTCCAGATCATCCAACTCATCCTGCAACTGAAAAGTAGTACTCTGGTGACCCCGTGTCCACCTCAACATTCCAAAAATAGAACTTTTCCTATGGATGAAGCACCACAAAGCACTATTGATATATAGTTCATACAATGTGTACAGCAGTCAGTCCTTGAAAACTACATTTGAGTGTTCTGATGATGTAAGTAGAAGATTCAATATGATGCTAGTTATACCATTTTGAAGAATGTGCTATATAAGCAAATATAACACAAAATTCATCAAAAAGAAGAAAATATATGACTAATGAAAATGCACCATTACTCTTACCTTGCTATTATAGTCGCCAGTGTCATCTAATCCTACATGTATCTAATATATGCTTGTCTGATGTTCAAAGCTTTTAATGAATATATGCTGCACAAGAATATTTCTCTTAACAGTGATAGTAGACTCCAATACCACATACTGTCTAACGTCAACTATAGAAAGGTTAAAATAACACCACGAATGAACAAAAACACAATCAACTGCTGATATTAAATAGCATTATAATATCATGTCTTGTCGAATATAAGGGGGAATAGATAATGCATGTGGAACTGAAGTACAGTATCTTACTTTTGCAGTAATAGATGTACAAGAAGATACCGAAAGATAGTTTTAATGTTTCATAGTATGCAGCAGCTCCCTTGGTCCCTGGAGATATGTCAGCCAGAATTGTAAACAAAATCCTGACTAGTAATACAAACCACGTTGTGAAACAGTAATATACACCTGAAACAAATTTTGGTGCAGATAATAGTGTCCAGTTTGGCAGGAGACAAGAACAAGACAAGAAAGATTAAAACTTTATCTAATATAACATAACACCTGTACTTCAATCTTGCGATGAAGGTGACATGTCACAGCACAAGTTCAAATTTACGAGAATTCTCTACACCAAGTCTGCATTTTAATCTCAGCTCATTTGGTCTTTAGATTTTAGAATATCACAGATAAATATCAACACTTAATTACATGTCCACTTCATTTGGGTGGCCATGAGAACAAGATCTACTGGTTGTGACATGATTAGACAATGCATGCAAATATACAATTTCCATCATCTAAATTGATTTACTCCTATCAGAACACATCTATCAAGAGATACCACAATTTTGTTCAAGTGAATGATAGACACTATCTCGAAATTATTGAATGTGGATAGTAAAAGACAAAAAATAAACTAAACTTACTTTTTTGGATCTTCATAGTAGCATAAGGCCTGCTGGAATCTATTCCAAAATGGGCCTGTCTCCTGAAGATTTACATTCTCTGGCCCACACAGATAGGCCTGCACGATGAACTGATAGCTTCTTTCTCTGGGTAGGACAAATGTAACAGAAAGAATCAGATAACCTGAACATATTAAAAGTTTAAAGCAGTTAAAATATATGCCCTTATTAAAGAAAATGCACAAATTACACATCATCAATAGATTTGAATGATAAGCAAGACCAATAAATTTATCTTCGGCCTGTAAATTAAATATAATACTACCATGCTATCTACCATCAATCTGCATCACCATTTTCACTGTAATCACATCATGATGCAAAATCTTCAATCGTTATAGGACAATTTCATTTGTGTACTTAAATACTAACCTCCCTTCATACTGCGAAAGCCAGGCCAAATAAGATGCACCAAAGTACATGGACACCAAAGGATTATAGAGATCATCAACAGACATAACTTTATATGCCCGACAGCCAACATCCCTGCAGATAGGATAATTAGTGTATATATACATATATGCATAGCATCAGAACAGTATGCTCCAGAACAGTCAGTTACATGGCAACTAAAACACGCAGAAAGAAATATGCAAAAAAAGTAAAGGGGCAAATTTTGGTCCTAGATAATGCAATCACTGCACTCATATACTGGCAAGTGTGGTTGAAGGATAAAGCTAAGCATAGTCAAGGACTAACTTGTATAGCCAGGCAGCAGTAGGATAATCAATTCCCATTAATCCTGTACGTGCACGAACACCATTAACAAATCGCATGCTACATACTTCAGCAAGAGCAGCTAGAGCTGTCTGTCATAAATCAACCATTAGAGGTGGATGGCAAATTAAACACCACAGTAAGGATGGAAGATCTCATTAATTTAATGAATGATGAACAGCTCACTGTATGATGCAGAAGTAATATTTTCTTAGAATGTTTTCATAAGAAAACTAAGAAAATGAATCAAAAGAGAAACAAGCTCAATGCAATAATTAAACTTGGAGAGAGAGAGAGAGAGAGAGTGAGAGAGAGAGAGAATCAGAAAAAAAAGAGAGACTATTTTGGAACAATTACAATTGACAGGAAATAGAATCAGCTACAAACAAAATGATATGGGACAACTTTCCAGAGAATAAATCTTGCAAAGATAGAGAAACTACTCAAATAAAACAAAAAAATAATAAAAAATAAAATTTTAAAGCAGGTGAACTGAGAACAGAAATAATGTTAAACAGGCTCAAATTGGATGGAATTATAAGCAAGAATACAAGTTGATAGGATACAGGTGGAAGTTAATGAGGTTCACATATATTCTTAAAGAATCATCTTGTGAATTATCAAGATGGCATTTGTTCATAACAAAACAACCAAAGACATAATTGCTCAAGAGACAAGAAAGAATAAAGAGCATACACTTGATCTTTTCTAATGTTTGCAGCAACTCTAAATTTCTTTACACTGTGCAATAAAACTTACTGGTTTTATTCCTCTTTTACTGAAGTATCGCGAAATAATTAGTTCAGCAACAGCCTGCAAAATGGAATTAATAGAAACTGAGATGCCTTTTACAAGTTAAATTAAAATAATTTAGGCAATAAAATCAAATTTTAATATAAGTTCCTATGAGCACATATAACCATCATTCAAATAGAGTTCATCAACAAGGTGACTATGAACACAAGATCGGCATTCAAAAAAGACTTCACCAATATGACGTATGCTTTGAAGCATGTGCTATGCTATATACTATACAGACTAACAGTTAGACAGACAAAGAAAAACCTCCTTAACTAGTTCTGTGTATGGCATGAAATCATGTACCAGAAAGAATTCTGCATGTGCTCTTGAAGCCACAAAAAACAGTAATTGATGGTGTGGACCAGAGATGAGCACTTCACTAGTTCAGTACAATGATTTAAAAAGCGCTAGGCGCTAAAAGAAGCCAAGGTCTAAAAACGCTCGAGGCGCTAGGCGCTCGCCCGAGCGAAGCGAGGCGCTAAAATATAAAAATATATAATATAATTAATAAATATAATTATTTAAAATTTTAAATTAAAATATGTTATTAAATTAAGAAAATCTATTAATAGTATTAAAAATTAATAATTTCAAATAAACCTAACAATATTAACAGTATACTGTATACTGTTAACAGAAGGAGAAGAAGGAAGTGTAAGGGGGTGCTGAGCCTGCTGATTGAGAAAAGAGGAAGCGACAGCGACAGCGACAGCGGAGTGTAAGGAGGCAGCGGCGAGCAACAGGAGGCGCGAGCGGCGACAGCGGCAGCAGGAGCAGGAGCGGGAGCGGGAGTAGGAGCGGCGAGCAGCGACAGCGGCAACGTTTGCGAACAGCGACAGTGGCGAGCAGCGACAGCGAGAGTAGGAGCGGCGAGCAGTGGGAGGCACGAGGGGCGACAGAGGCAGCGTTTGCGAGCAGCGACAGCGGCGAGCAGCGGCGGCGGGAGCAGGAGCGGCGAGCAACGGGAGGCGCGAGCGGCGACAGAGGCAACGTTTGCGAGCAGCGACAGCGGCAAGCAGCGAGATCGGGATCGGGATCGGGAGTGGCAGCGACAGCGGGTTAGGGTTGGGTAAGGGTTATATCGGTTTAGTTGGTTCGATTGAACCAACTAACCAACCGAACCAGGACCGAACCAGACCTAAAATCCTGGTTCGGTCGCCTTTGTTTACCCAGGCGCTCGCCTGTTTGAAGCGCGCCGCCTGGGAGATTAGTGAGGCGCTTGGGCCTCGCCTCGCCTCGCCTCGCCCGAGCGCCTAGGCGAGCGCCCGAGCGCCTTTTTCAATCACTGGTTCAGTATATGCTATGTATGGATCAAGTTTCTTTTTGCATAATTTTACCTTAACTTCAACTCGAGAAAGATAAGGTCTCTTCTCTGAATCATGAGAGAAGCGTACTCTCCCACGTCTCTCACCAGATCTTGTCCACTCTTTTAGAACTTCAGGATGCCTCCAAAGCACTTCCATGTCTTCTGATGATACTCTATAGTCCCAGTATGTCCACCCTTCACCTGATCCTATATGAAAAGAACAATATCATTTAGTCAAACTCTTCTACCATATGACAAAAGAGATGCAAAGATGTACTATAATTAAAAGGGCCTACTAAAGTTTTCAGAGATCGTGACTACATATTCTTAAGGGTATTATTGAAAATTAAATACTTAACAAAACAAGTTAACCATCAAATAATCAAGCAAATATAAATTCAGAAATCAAATTTTAAACTTTATTTTATTTTACCACAAAACAAAGGCACTAGTAAGCCAAAATGTCACTAGTAACAAATAAACAAACGGAACCATCAGTATTACCAAACAAATGGACAAACACACTTTAAAGTGTACTTTTGGAGTCTTGGAGATGCAATTGGCTGATGTAGTGGTTTCTTTATCTTAAAAATTATAAACTGATAGCCCTATTCAGTAATAAATGAACTACAACCTGAAGTCACAGAAATTGGTCTAGCAGTATGCAAAGCATCAGATATCTCCTCTTCCCTGCAAAAAAAAGAGAAAAAAGGAAATAATAAAAAATAAAACAAATGTTTGCAAATTGTAATTCATATTAACTGAAAAAAAGCATGAGTAACAAAGTACTAAGAGAAAAAAAACTCCACTTGTGCCATCCATATAGGATGGTTCAGGTCAAATTATACACCTCAAGATCCAATTAATCTAACTGTTATAGACAGTTGATCTTTCAGCTAGCTAGTCAAGCTTACAAGCACATTGGGATAGCAAGAAGTAGTGCATATGGAGATAATTTAATGGCAATTTAACTTTGAAGTTCAAGAGACCACACTTCTCCAGAATTGAGGCAATTTTCAGTAACTTATCTCTGAGGTGTCCAAAAAGCCTCAAAAGTATTGGCGATAAGTTTGCAGAATTTCAGCAAACAGAAATTTTGCATCAAGCTCATTTTTTTCAAATATCCAATTGCAGTTGAGCACTTCAAGGCTTTTGGTATCCATGTTTGCAAATATAAACATGATTGAATTTCTTATTCAGATTTAACAACCTCTTGGGGAGCAAACTCTGTTTGATGGATAGATAACGCTGGAAAAAGTCAGCTGTTGACTTATGAGTAGCCTTCTTGATACCCCCTTTGTAAGCTCTAATGACAAACTCTTCAGTCCTTTCTCTGCATCAACAGAACAAATCAGATTTATATCTTAACACACATCATCATAGTAGGAAGGTATTACTATGATGGAAGGAGAAAGACAGACAATAGCTTTTACTACAACCATCTGTAATCTTACACGTACTTTCCATCACAATAGGATAGCCACTTTAGATAAGCTGCTCCAAAGTAGACGTTCACAAATGGCCTGAATAGCAATGTTGAAATTCCCTCTATTTCATAGTTCCGGTAGCCCATTTCCCTAGAAAACTTATCAGATTTCAACCAAAAAATCATATCACATCCATGTGTTAGAAGATTAAGATTATTCTACTTGCTGACAAAGTTATCAGGACGTTTGGATGTATGAGACCTGACAAGCCATTCTGCATTTTCTGGAGCTATCTGCATTATGCCAATTCTAGCCTGCTTTGTCTTTCGATCATAATACTCTGCCTGAAGTTGTCTGTCACTGACAATTTCAGCAAGAGCACATATCATATCCTGCAGTAGAAGAAGAGATGCATGCTGAAAATTTTGGAACAATAGTATCTTCAATGGCTAATATAAGCATTTCTAAAATGGCTGCATAAGACTAGAATACTTAACCTATGATCAAAATAGCATTTCCTACAAATGCACTATTGTTTTTTGTGCATTAACCATAAGACTAGAATACTTAACCTATGATAAAAAAACATTTCATAAAATGCATTATATTTCTGTGCATTACACACATGGCACATCTAAAAAATTGAAAGCGAAGAAGAAATGCTTAAATTTAACCAGAAGGAAAAGGTCACATCCAAAGTGAAGTTTAAGGTAAAAAGAATTGAAACCCAAAGTGGGTACTAAAAAATTACACAGATATGACACAAGAAACTCCAGACATAACAAATGAGTTATGTCTATTGATAAAGCATCTGCTTTGCTGTCACTGCAGATAAAGAAGTGAAATTAAGTAAATAGAGGTGCAGCAACATAAGAGAGAAGGGGGATTATAAAATAGAAGATCAACCAAAGAAAGCATAAAGCTAAGGAAATGAGAAAACAGATATTTATATTAGTTTTATGAAAAAAAGATCAACTCACTTAATGCATTCACTCAAAACATTCAAGCACAAGTTTATCAAAACATTAACAAGAAGCCAAATGCTCTTCAGAATTTTTATCATGCCAACTGATGAAAAAGATAGATCTTGTAAAATTTTGCAAAAAAGTATGAGAATCAAGAACATAGAGATATGTAAATAAACTGTCTCTATGTCAGAAAAAAAATATTTATATAAAATTCAATCAAATAGACCACAATAATGTATCCAACATTATGGTGAAACAAGCAAGAAACAAAGAAGCATTTTCAGCCAACATAGCCAAGCAACAATTTCAGCAACAATTTTCAGCCAACATAGCCAAGCATCAATCACAAATTAATACCTGCTGTAATGAAGTAAAAATGAAAATGAAACAAGCAGTACCGATGCCAATTGTGAATTGAAGTGCAGATGGACAACAATTTCAGCAACAGCCTGAAAGAAAGATGCATACTTATGTATTAGAAAGATGAACAAGCAGCATTAACAAAGAAGTTTTTCAACAACCATGAAAGAGTGAATGACAGAAGGGTGGCATGGACTGGCTATAAGTAGTCAACATGAAGACAATGTCAAACCACAGATTAATAAAGATCATAGGCAATGAGTTGCTCTGTCATATCTCATGCCATTAGACTGAAGGTATGGCTGGCCTGACGATTCCAAATGGTCAGTCATGCTGACCAACATGGTACAAGCAATTCCCACTTCCCAGTGTTCTGTTATTTCATTAAGAATTTTGCGATTATAAAACTTAAATATAACCTAATCTTTTACATCCAATGACCGCTATAGTGTTACTTGATAACCACCTAGCACCATGCATATGTTTCTAATTCATGATAAAGATATTAACGCTGGCAATTTAATCCAAAAGCAATATGAACTTGGTGTTTATATATTAAACTTGTCCAAATAAAGAAATAAGTTAAAAGGGCCAAACAAAATTTCATTCTAGTTAAATGAAAATGTAAAACACTATTTTGTGTGCTTTGAATCTTGATTCATGGTCATTGATTTAATATAACTCTTTTCACTCTTATCTTTTATTTATTTATTTGCACCACATGAATCTTCAATATTGTGAAATGTAAACTAGTTAACATATGAAATCATTTTATACTTCATATCTAACACCAATAAACAGCTAAAAACATTTAACAGTGAGGAATAACAAACTGCACCTGTTAGTTGTACCATAAAAATGTCCCTATCTGCCCCAATTGATTGAACAACAGAAACTCTTACATCAATCAGATACAACTCATTGATAACAGTATTTTTATCCATCATATTATCTGAACAAAAGGATAGGCCTACAGTTATTTCTTTCAGATTACTGTTTATGACAAAATTTAGAATATTTGGATAAGAATCACAATCTTAATCAGTCGTGATCAGGAATAATTATTGGTGGAATCTGTGGGAAAGAAACTTCAAGAGAACCAAAAATCTTTACAGAAAGGTAAAAAAGAATTAAAACATAGATGCTCTATGGCATATGTTAGCATAGCATGGACTAATATTTGACCAGTAGCGACCAAAACCAGCATTTCTATCCTAAAATGAATTTTCCATGCCACCAGGATGGCAAACCATGACAAGTAAGATACAGTATTAAATTAGATCAGCCAAGAAGCCAGTGACATAAAGTTGAAAATCATATGAAACTTAATGGTGCAAAAGAATTGTATCATCATGAACAAAAAAAGAAAAGGCATATAATATTAAGCAAGAAGTATTAAGCAACATTATTGCAAAAAGGTCTAACACCTATAAATTAGTATAAGCAGCACCAAGGACAAGAAAGCAACAAGACCAACATCATTAGCATTAATTGCCTGCGATAATTCACCTTAAAGAAGCTGGTTGGAAGATCTATCTAGAGAACAAACTTTGCAGCAGTTATGATAATGAAGAAATGGATTACACCTCAAATAGACAAGAGTGAACATTATAGTGAAATCAAAGAAATGAATTACGACCAAATAAATAAGTGAACTTGGATTGGCCACCCTCGTGAATGGCTGGGTCTCTCATAAATTTTTCAAGATTGTTTTAACAGGCCCAGAACCATCTCAGGCAGTTCCAGCCAACCCCTGCTGTATTCCAACAAAAAGCAGTGGTTTTCCAACTGCATTGGTGCCTCACTGTCATACCTGTGAGGCAATTATAGAGGCAAAGTAGGACCATGTGGGACCCACATGCTGCTGGAACCCACATGTATCTAAGGCAGGTAAAGCTGCATATGGGTATGTATCCTTTTCCGACAAATAGTCAGCTAATCCCATGATCCAAGCCCGTGGTTCTACTCCAAATTATTTCCAATCACCTAAATTGATCCTATAATCAGCCATGCATATAGAGCTTGTTTATGCTTAAGATTGAAGACAAGGGAGATGAACGAGCGAGTCTTCTATATTGTTGTCGCAAAAAATGTTTGTTACGGATGCATTTTTTTTTTCATTATACTTAATAAATCAAACCAGAATGGGAAAATTTGAAGAAACGCTCAACTTAGAAGGTAATCTATAAGATATGCCATGAAATTTATAAAACTAAAAAACAAGGTTCGTAATTTTGTATCGTACTGGTGTTTCGAGCTTTGCTCGGTATGGTACAATATAAGCATATCGAGCGGCATGCTAGGGTGTACCGCTCGATACGCGTGTGTGTATATATATATAATATTTATAAAAAAAGGAAGCATATGCTGCCTCGACGACGTCGCCTCCTTTTCTTCTCCTCATCGTGTCAGACGAGGAGAAAACCAGTCTTCTCCTCATCTGTGGCGTTCGTCGAAGGCCACAGACACCTCCAGCCTTCGATGAAGGCCATAGGCGTCTCCGACCTTCAACGAAGAACGTCGCGAAGGCCATAGGCATCTCCAGCCTTCGACAAAGAACGTGGCAAAAGTCGCAGGTGTCTTCGGCCTTCTGTCATGGACAAAATTGTGTATTCGATGTAATGCTTATGTATGTCCATGTTTTTCGGTTTTGTTTATATTTTGCATAGCATATAAGGGGCTAGCAGTAGGCTTAGTAGTCCCATTTTCTTTAGTTTTGGTGGCCGTCCTAGGCTTGTAAACAAAGGTTGTGTCATTTGGGAACCTTTGTTGTGCCATCGTTCAGAGCTTATAAAGTATGTTTGTAATTTGCATTAGCTATGAAGTGTTTACTGAAATGATTGCTCGTGGATCCCGAGTGAGACGCTTTCTCTAACCCGTTTTCTCTTTTATAGGTCTTAAGGAACCATACGAGGTTTCGGGGAGGCTGACCTTTACGAACGGACACGCAAGGGTGCCGCACGACTTAGGCAAAACCAGCTAAGTGCGTGACACTTCGGCGAAGAAGAAGCCGAGTCGTCGCTTCTCCGTTACCTTTTGGATCGGGATCATCGAGAGAGGGCAATGTCGGATCGGAAGGCGTCGAGGTTCTCCCGATTCTCCCTCTTCTTCGAGCGCCTTTTCCTATTCTCTCTCGACGCTTCCTCTTCCCTCGTCGCACCCAGGTTGATACCACCCGGTATAGACGATATTATTCGAAATTAAAATATTTGCTAAAAAGCACTAGTGAAATTGCACTTATGACAAAAATCATACTTGCTATTGAGGTTACAGTTCAAGAAAAAATGAAAAGGAGTACAAAACCCATACATGGCATGATAGAGGACATTAATGCACTCAAGATTTTAATCAAATCAGAATGAAGAATACTTGAAGAAGCAACAGAAAAAAAAAATCCCAGAATCATTATTAGAACTTTGAAGCTGGGATCAAATAGACAGATCAAATTGGCTGATAAAATGCTATCTGATACAATCAATTGTGGTACTCAAGTCAATTTCCATTATATCATATACCCAGTCTTCTTCATGACGTGGATCTTTATGTCTTTCCTTCTCACCCGCAATCTTATCTCTACAACTTTGACCTGCAATGTCAATGCAACGCTGTCACTTCGTCTCACTAATCCAGGTACTGTGTGTTCATGAACAGGAAACCTCCTAGCAGACCTTGAAATAACATATTTCCATTTACCTATTTTCTATCCTATCCTTGAAGTGATGCACAACAGCTGGCAATGTTTGCACAAGTTTCCACCATTTTTCAGTTTAAATCATCATCAATAAAAGACCTGATATTTCTGCTCACAAGTCACAACCTCCTTTGTTTGTCTCTCGTCAATTCCAATTTCAGGTACTTACTGGGTAGATGCGAAAACACTAAGCAACTTAACTGGTGATAAGGAGTGGATTGGTACTTTTTTTCAACAGCACCAAATAAACTGAGCATTCTAGAGCACGAAAGATAATATTGCCTTGAATTGCAAACACTCGGAGCAAAACAGTCCTTCGGTGGTACAACAAGAATTTTATGAACTCCAAGTTTGAATTTAGTAAAAACTTTGTAACCTAAGAAATATATAGAAAAAGAAGAAAGGAAAAAGAAAAAAGAAAAACAGGGCAGCGTTACTTCTATCTTCACAACTATATTTGCAGAAAAAAAGTGTGATGTTTTAAATTAATCATATACCCTCATTTCTGTTTGCGTGAGATACAGCTGTCCCTCAGGATCTCGTGAGAGGAGAACCTTCTTACCCATCTTTTCTCCCGCATCGATCCATTCCTTGCACACATCCGCGTCCTTCCACAACAATTGCATTTCCTCCGAATCCACACAATCATCCCAATATTTGTAGCTCACCGACATCTCCAAATTGTTCGGATGTGTCCAATGATCTAACAGCAGAAAGATAGCATCATAAGCATCGACAAAAAAGAATTCCTCGTTACAAAATTCAGTAAGCAATAAAATGAAGTATAAAATGTGCATTTGCCTAAAGATCGACAAGTCTTAACCGTTAGCTCCATGAAATAGTCAAGATTCTACGCAGTTATCCCATCATTTTTCCAAAAAAAAAGAGATAATAATAATACATAAGATCCAAGAACCCTGAGGTGTGGAAGTAGGCAAGGAGATGGAGCGAGGAGTTTCCGCTTTCTTTTTACCTCCTTGTTTCGAGAAAACACGATTCCGAGAAACAATTGGAGATTCTACGAGACTAGTTCATTTTTCCAAAAAGAAAGAAAAAGACCCAAAACGTAGTTATCGCACGGAGATGAGGAGGACATTCTGGCGGGGAGATCCAGAAGATCACTATCCACCTCTTCATTTCAAATAGAAACCATTGCATCAATTTTCATGAATCGAACCGCTGACAAACGAAAACAAAAATAATCGACGGTAATGGCGACGTACCCGGAACGATGAAAACAGGCGAGAAGATCCAATAAAAACCCGGCCTCTTTCTTCTCGCCGCTTTACTTCGAGCAAAAGAAAAAACCGATCGATGGGATCGGCGGAGTTACTAATTTACGGGATGAGAGACAGGAGATGGATAAGAGATGGGCATTAGGCGACTGCAGCAGCGACAAAGGAGACAGAGACGGGCAATAGGCATTCGGTATCGGGCGAATGAAGCAGCGAAGGCTGGGATGACTGGAGTGCGATTTCACCAGCCGTGCCGTGAGATTGAAGGGAGTTGCGGGTCCCAGCAGAGATTCGGGTTATAAACGAGAGGTACGTTCGGGTGAGTGCGTTTACATATATTTACAGCAACCGCCCACCTGGCGACAACAATACGTCGAAAGGGCTGAGCATTTGAAGTGCCAAAATAGTTTGAAGTACTCGCCGCTACTTACTCGATCGACAACCTGACTCTTAGCTACAGGTTTAGTAAGAGCTCTGGTTCTTGGTGAGAAGGTCGGTGAAGCGGGCGGGTAACTTTGTCCAACGTAATTAAGGAGTTAGTGACGTCTGATGACGGCGATTGGAGCAATGATCGAAATAGACGTGGCGAATGCCACCAACACAACAAAATCCGCTTCTACGCGGTCCAAACCCATGTTGGTTCAATTAAACCCGGTTCTCTTTTTTTTATATTTTTCAAAATATAATTTTATTTTTTATAAAAAGATCAAAATATTCTTAAAAATATATTACCTTAAAATTCAATATAGACTAAATTGATCTATCATCATAGTATTTCCGAATAAAATTACAGTATCTTTTTTATTTATGATATTTCTAAATATGATTGCCGTGTTGATTTACAACTATATTTATTACTAAACCAACAAATCCAAAAACACTATAAATGGATGATACGTTATTTTGTTGTTATCATTCGTTCACAATAAATTATTATAGATATTATAAGGTTTTCTACTATATTTGGACCTAAACGTAACACAAAAAATAGAAATTATAATTTTTTAATCATGTTTTTATTTTGTAATGTGCCAATACCTTTATAATTTTCGTCTAAAATAATTCAAATTCTCATATTAATTATTGTATAATACATCAACACCGTTGTGATTAGTATAAATATTTAATTAATAAAAAATATGTTAGAATATTTTTAATTAGAGTTATAGTGTTTTTGATTTGGTGATATTATGACATATTTTTGTTTGATGATAGATACTTGGAGAGTATTCGAAGTCATGTAGGTCTAGTTTCAAGTTTTATCTCGAGTTAAGTTGAGATATTGGGAGACTAGAGGAGAGCATATCCGATATGATAAATATGATGTTTAAGTTAGTAAGAACAAGGATGATTCAATCGAATGTTAGATTAAATGTATTTAGTCAAATATTCATTGTTAAAAATATGCATAGTAAGTGATAGATAATCATCGAATCAAGATCATGATAAATACCAAAAATGGTTGTACATTAATAATATTTAATGAGATTATTAAATCATATCTTAAACTCAAGGATACTATGCAAAATAATGAAATATCAAGTCAACTTCTCCATCAACGAATCAATCTCATATGGTTAGTTTTATAAGAGAAGATCCCCATATGTTACATATTGGTTGAATGAGATTAAAGTGTCAGCTAAACGAGGATACATGTTGGCGATAACTATATGTCATATTTCTTAATCAAATATGTCAAAATTATTCAAAAATATTATAACTAAATATATAATTATAATAATTATTTAATAAAAAATCATCTAAAAAAGTACATGTCTAAATCTAAGGTCATACACAGAATAAGGATATTGTATCCTTTAATTCAAAACATGGTAAAATAAGGATATTGTATCCTTTAATTCAAAACATGGTAAAATATTCTTAAATTTCATTTAAAATTACTTAAAAATATAAAATAAGATATTTTGTATAACTTTAACACACACACACACACACACACACACACACACACATATATATATATATATATATATATATATATATATATATATATATATAAAAGCTAAAATTATGATTTATGAACATTTAATAAGATATGATTAATCTTTGTAATCCTATCCAAAATTACTGTATTTTGAACGATATTACTTTACACACCCGTTTCTCCGACACCCGCTTTGTCGGTGCCCGAGGCGACTCGATGGAGGACGTGAGCCCCACCGATCCCACTGTCGTCTCTACGCGTCCTCACCCGTTAATTTGATAGGGTATGGCTGTGCTAGTTCTTTTACCCATTCAACCGTCACCCGACGCCTACCTGCCCCGTATCGTGGTCGAGGACTTGAAGCCGCTTCATAGATGGGTCCCACTTTCGTGCCAGGCGAAGGCATAGGTAATCCTAAGAAGTCGATCTCCCGCCTACCATAAATCCTTCTCCGCTTCTCATGCGTCCCAGCGGCGGAAATAAATTAAGGGAAAGGATGCCTCTCTCTCTCTCCGCCGCTCCCGCCGCCGCCAACGGAGCCGCTCGCCGCCTTGTCTATTCTACCCGTCGGTGCCTTCAACGCGTCCGACAAGTAAGTCTCGCTCCTCTCCCGTCCATCTCTCCGAGGTGCAAGATACCGACTTGGTGTTGTATTCTTGTTTTTGCGCAACAGGATCGAATATTCCTCTCTGTCGTTCGGTGTCGATATTCTACTGTGACTCGCAGTTCGATCAGAGGCATGGCTGATGTGGAAACCCAGAAGGCCCCCTCTCCTGCTTTATCTACTGGTATTGTTTGCTTTCTTTTCTTTTGTTATTGAGTTTCTTGAACGGAAAACCGAATTCCTCATGTTGTTTTCCGATTGTCTGGGGGAAAGAGTGCAATGTTTGCGATTTACATCAGCATCGTGTTAAAATATAATGTTGGAATTTAATTTCTATGCGTCTTATTTGATAATATGGGATTTTCAATAGTTGCTGATTGAATGGACCGTAAGAGTCTTTTGCTCAAGTTGAATTGCACAATTAAACGGTGAAACTAAGAGTCACACAAAAGGGAGAGCAAAGTTCACCAAGGCCATGTGCCCGATGGTCTCCTGCTTGGCCTATTGACGTAATGTCCTAGGTGGTTACTGTATTCTTTCTCTTGTAATCTCCAAAAAAATAATTTCAACATATGAAATTGGAATGAACTAAATTTAAATGCATCCTCTTGTGACACCGACGTGATATGATTTTTTGCTTAATTATTAAAGCATCTGCTATCATCACTGACATGAGCATAGCTCATAAGTAGAAAATTTTCTCTGAAACAACTGAGGTATGCAAGTTATACTTTTCTGCTTCATGTCTGTATATAGTTTTGTGTAAGGTAGTACATGTATGATGAATTTGTTCATTTATTTTGGTGTTTATAATCCATTATATATGTTACTACTGCAGTCAGCATTTCTGCTTTAGGTCTGTGTGTAATATTGGGGGAAATGTGTGTATACATGTACCATCTTAAGTACATCTAGACTAGAGTCCTGCAAAAAAAAAAAAGCCATTTCTTTTGGTTTTTGATGTTTCTTTTCAGTCTATCGGCTAATGTTCATAACCTTATTGATAGGGCACAAGCAAGCATTAATATCATTGTCAGATAAGCGAGAGTTAGCTTTTCTTGGAAATGAACTCCAATGCTTAGGGTGAGTTTTGGTGCTACTTCCTGAAGTTTCATATTTGGCATGGCTTTCAAAATTTGAGCACATGATGTCTATTCTTTATGATTACCTGTTATCTATATGATTGTATTCAGATTCTTGACTTCGTAGTAGGTGGCCTCTTCCTTGGTTGCTTGAAAGCAAAATATATTATCATATAAATGAATATTTTTGATCCAAACTGTAGTCTTCTAGTTTTGCTCTAACTTTTCTTCGAGAGATTTTGGCATAGTTCAGTTCAATTTTTCTTTGTTGTTTAGGACATTCTTATCCTCAAATAGAGCTGGATCATAGTGCCTATCCTCCACAGAAGTTTGTTCAATTACTGGTTGGTATGCATCACCGAGTGATAAAGATCTAGCCAACCTGTTGATTAATTACTGGATGTCAATGCAAAAGAGGAGCCCACACCCTCTCTACACAAGATTGTAGTATCTTTCCTGCCCCAACTCATTCGATAGTTTTTTTGGGTAAACTTGTAATTTAAAAGCCAATGCCTTGCCAATATGCCCTTCAAGAGAGTTATATGATGTCTCATTTAGACCTCTCTCTGGACCTCTCTCTGGAATATTTCATTAAACACTTGATGATTGATGAACTGTCCGATATCTTTTTTCACTATAATTAGCAGTTGTCCTGTAACATTAATAGAGGTTTGTGTCACAATAACATTTCTTTTTGGTGAAAAAAATACATTTCTTTCTTTGGAAGTGGCTGAAAGCCTGGAACAATTCGGAAAAGGCCTTACCTTATCGCTTGACCAAAACATTGACTATCTTTTTGGTGTTTAATTTGGTTTTATGTGGAAAGTCATGGTTTTAATTAGTGTAAAATATTAATAAACTTCTTTTTGAGGTGCATGGATGGAAGTGGCTTCATGATTATGCCTGTTGTGACCTAAGGGCCTGAATTGCCCATAGCTTTTACATAAGATAAGTTCATACCAACAGTGAGCAGAAAAATATATAGACTACCTTTATTCAAGAAAATGCACATATGACTAATAATCACCTTCATCACCTAATGAGCCAATTCCTTGTGAGTGAAAAAACCTATAATTTTACTGACTAGTTATGTGTACCTTGTAAACCATGGAAAGCTGGCAGACCAATAATTTAACCACTTGTTGTTTTCTCCCTGTAAGCATTTACATGGACTTTTTTCTTGAGTTCTGACTGGACATATATTTACTCTTTTGGTGTGTAAATTTGTTAGGTAGTGTTGTAGATGTGTCAATTAGCATTTCATGGTCATCTTGCTTTAAGTTTCAAGATTTATACTGTTCTTTATTTCAGCTACATTTCTTAAGATCTGTCTCTTGCAGTTATTTTCACATGTAACTCAGCCTGTGGCGGGCAGGATTACAGTTGTTTTTAAATTTTATTATTGCATGGCTTCACAGACAGCTATATTCTTGTAGGTATTCTATTGTTTCAACTGGAGGCACAGCATCCTCGTTAGAAGAATCTGGTGTCTCTGTCACCAAGGTTGAAGATATTACCCATTTCCCAGAAATGGTAAACTTAATTAAGTTATTTCTATTGACTACTTTTTGTTGTCTCATCATCATAGGTGTTTCTTTTCCTAAATATTTTAGTTAACTTCTGCATTTTTGGAACTTGGAGCAAATTTAGTGTAACTTGATTATGTGGATGTCTTTTTATTTTCTCTTTTATTGTCACCCTGTGATAGCTTAACTAGTTTCAAGTCTTGTTTCTTTTTTTTGGAAAAATGATGGCTTAGATCGAAAGAACAAACTCAACTATTGTGATCTATCTAGTTTATGAAGATGTATGTAAAATATCATGGATGGAACAGAAAAGAGAATTGGAGGGATGATTGCTCTCTTTGTATCAACAAAGAAAAGCATCTCATTGTGCAGTCCAAACTGACTTATTAGTTAAAACTTCAAATGATTTTGCCAAATAATCCAACCACATGATGTGAAGTTGGTCCATTTGACTTTGAATTGGGTTTCCGGGGGCTTTGATTGAGACACGTATTTTATTTTTCACTGAAATGTTTGTAATTTGTGACTGTTTATTATTCCTGCAGCTTACTTCATGGAAGCTTCAAGTTTAAATTATATTTTTGCCAGAAAAATTGTTTTTGTAATGTCTATGATTTAGTCTCCAAGGAGGTTCAAGTGAGGTGTGTCATACATGTGATTGTGTTTTGTGTTCCTGTTTGTTAGTTGAGTTACAATTTTGAATTAAACTTTGAAGATTTCTCATTTTCAGTATGACTTTTATTTGGAATCTTCTAATTGGAATTCAAAGGTAGTTGTCTTGTGTTAAATGGTTGTTTCATTTCTTAGGTTTAGATGTTGATTGTTCTCTATTAACTGGTAGGAAATCCTCTTGATATCTCTACAAATAGAAAGCCCTGTGGTCCTCTTAGCTTTATATGAAAGTGTTAAATAGAAGATAAACTAAGAGAATTATACTTTGATACTGATACATGATGTACAATGAAATGGCTTATTGATTATTGCAGCTAGATGGTCGGGTGAAAACTTTACATCCTAGCATACATGGTGGCATTCTTGCTCGAAGAGATCACCATCATCACATGGAAGCCTTAAATAGGCATGGTATTGGTGAGTTGTTCACCATTATGTTATTTTACACTGTTCATTCTTTGAGTATCTTGCTAATCTCATTTTGGCATAAATGATCCACTACGCCATAGAAATAGGATATTTTAGGATTGAAGATATTTTGCAGGTACATTTGATGTGGTGGTGGTGAACTTGTATCCATTCTATGAAAAAGTTACTTCTTCTAATAAAATTGCTTTTGAGGATGGAATTGAGAATATTGACATTGGTGGCCCTACCTTGATACGAGCTGCAGCTAAGGTTATCATTTTGGAAGTCATTGGACATTGGTACTTCTTACTCACCATGTAGATTTGCTAAAAGTGTGTATTATTTTGACAGAATCACAAGGATGTTTTGGTTGTTGTCGATCATGAAGACTATCCAGCTGTCTTGGAATTTCTGCGCAGAGAACAAGATGATCAGGAGTTCCGCAGGAAACTGGCCTGGAAGGCTTTTCAGCATGTTGCTACTTATGATTCAGCTGTCTCAGAGTGGTTGTGGAAGCAAACTGAGAATGGTAAGCATCATTATCACTCGTTTTCGGGTTATACAATCTCATAATCAAGTTGTCAAAATTATTGTTTGATATTGTCTTCTTTAGGAGAAAAGCTTCCACCCAGCTTTACGGTACCACTCTCACTCAAAAGTACACTTCGATATGGTGAAAATCCTCACCAGAAGGCTGCATTTTATGGGGACAAGAGTATATCCGTGGTCAATTCGGGTGGTATTGCCACTGCCATACAACATCATGGGAAGGTGAGAAAGGCTTGTAACATATGGAGATACATTTTCTCGTCTCCTACTGCACTAGACATGATGTCACTAAAATGTTTTTTGTGATCCTACATCTGATTGTTGATCTCCCACTTTTGCAGTCAAAGCTTTTTATTGGATGTTAGTCATTATCAACTTTAGCAAATTTTGTTTGTCACACAGCAGTGTGCTGCTCATCATAGTACACAAGATTGTCACAACTTAGTTAAACACTGTAGTGTGCCAGTACTTATTCATCAGAGCATGAATGGGGGCGCATACCATCCCTTTCCAAACTGTCTTATTCTTTAGGGTTTTAGCGTGATGTGGACACTCATGACATGCAGTGCCACCCACTCACCAGCCACCTGGTTGCCTGCCATTGCTGGACCTTCAGGTAATTGTCCTCTTCTCCTCCTTGATTCTCGTCTGCACCTGCACCCTCATCCTCTCTTCTTTTCCTTCCCCTCCTGTCAACTGCCACCTCCTCCACCTTTCCCTTCTTGGTACCATAATACATACCGGCATAATATGTGTCAGTATACCTGTACTGGTTTGACCATCAACCGGCACAGATCCGATACTTGAGATGTAAAACCCTGGTTAAACATTATTGGTTTTATGAGGTTGTGAAGTGGCTGTGGGATGTGGAAACTAATTTAAAATATTATGCCACGATCGATAAAAGGTTGATGACATGTTACTTTGCCAACTGCCAATATTTGGTACAAGAAATGGCTAAAATTTTGAAAGCTTATAAATTCAGCAGGTTAGGTTAATTGGAACTCGTCAAGTTGTAAGTGTAATCATCTGTTTATGAAATTTCTAGTGAGTCAAAATCATTCTCTCTTGCTTCTGAAACCCGTTATATTTATGCTGAACTCAAGCTTACCATGGACCATATAATTGCATATATTTATCTGATATGGTCATGCGAGTCAAAATATGTCTTTCTTTCCTGTTCTTGATTATTGTCCCTTCCATGGTATGACGTATTGCCCGAAACAGTATAGTACGGGTGGTACATACCGGTCCAATAGCTGACTGGAATGCAAAGCATCATGTGCCGGACGATATACTAGTTGGGGGGCGTATCGAGCAATACACCCTTCATACTGGGTGAAATGGTCGAAATTTGACCTAGTGGTTGGATTTCGATTGAAATCAATCAAGGGCCCAGATTGAATTGGTTTTGAATGCCTATTTAACCCTATTCCTCCCCCCTCTTTCATCCTATTTCAATCTCACATCTTCTACCACTCTTTCTCACTCAACCATTGTCTCTTTCTTACAATTCTCACTCTTGTTCAATATCAACGGAAGAACCGTTTGGAACATGCCGCTAAGCTGCTCATCAGTGTTCAAAAAAGACAGATTCGCTATCTCTTCTTTATTTGAATATTTTTTATTGAAATAGAACTAAATTTGCATTTAGTTCTAATTAAAATACCCTAATTTAGGTTTTTTTTTTTTCCTAATTTTCAAGTATTTTTATAGATTTTCTGAACAGTTTTTGGAATTGTTGACACGTTCCGAGGTATCGTGTGTTAGAATGCCGGTGCATACCGGACCAGCCAAAGATCGGCATAGCCGATCGGCACGAAATTTCAATCCTTGGTCTCTTCTATTGAGAGTGTTAATGATCACATACATGTTGGTGAGTGTTGTGTTTTGCTGAGATTGGCATATGTATTGTTACAGATTATACAATTTAATTTATCATATTAAATCTTTTGTTGCAAAGATTGCTTCATTGACATGAAAACAAAGATGACACTTAAGCCAAGTTCAAGTGGCAAAGTGGATTTTGTGACTTTAAAAGTGCCTCGAATTTTGTTATCTATTCCTCCAATGGACAATTTATTATTAATCAGTTTTTTTTTGTATATGTTGTACTATCTTCAGTACACGAGAAAATGGAAGTAACAATTACTGAGTTCTAGATATCCAAGAAAAAAATGGTAAGCAAATAAAGCCATAGCTTTTATCAGGAATTTAATAATTATGTTCAGCAAGAAATTTAACAAATGTAACAGTTCCATTGCCACCTGGAAATTTTGATGAGCACAACCTTTTAAGATAGGGTGGTTGTGCAAAGATTCTTCTGTTGAAATAGTTTGTTTTTATGATAGTGAAATTGAGTTGGACCATAAACCTATATTGGATATCTGTTTTGATTGGTTGAGAAGAAAGAAAAAACTTTTTTTTTTTGACCTATTATGTTGATAGGAAAATATTGTAGTGTGCAGAACTATTTTCCAACCTAGTAGAAGATGGTGTTCATATCTTTGTTGAAGTAAGTGCTGTCTAGTTTTGATTTATAATCCATTTGGCTGAATTATATATCCTTGAATGCATGAAAACTATCCCCTCTATGTTGAATTAGAGCAGTAACTCAAAAAAGAAAAGCGGGAAAGTTCCGCTGCATGTTAGATTTCTTCTTCTTACTTGATTACAGACTATGTGAATGTTTTATCTGTCAAATCTAAATGCCTTGAGGATCAGTTTAGCTTTAAACCTTCACATACTTCTTCAGGTATGTATTTTTTGCTATGATGGGTTCTTTAATGCCAATATTCTAATACCTTCCCGTTTGGTGCAGGAGATGTCTTACAACAATTATTTGGATGCTGATGCAGCATGGAATTGTGTATCAGAGTTCAAGAGCCCTACTTGTGTGATTGTGAAGCACACAAATCCATGTGGTGTAGCATCACGACAAGATATTCTTGAAGCATACAGGTTAGCTGTAAAAGCTGATCCTGTCAGTGCATTTGGTGGCATTGTTGCTTTCAACACAACAGTTGACGAGGTCAGAAACAATATAAATGAAAGCTTATTTGGCTGGTATGTTGATTTACATCTATTCATCTCACACAATCAAATGTCCAGGATCTTGCGAAGGAGATTCGAGAATTTAGGAGTCCAACAGATGGTGCGACTCGAATGTTTTATGAGATAGTGGTTGCACCTAAATACACAGAGAAAGGCCTCGAGATTCTTCGTGGGAAGTCCAAAACCTTGAGGATTCTTGAAGCAAAAAAGAGTGAGAAAGGAATGCTCTCACTGAGACAGGTTGGTGGGGGCTGGTTAGCTCAGGACTCGGATGGCTTAACCCCAGTAGATGTCAAATTCAATGTGATGTCGAAAAGGGTTCCACAAGAGGCCGAGCTCCACGATGCAGAGTTTGCATGGCTTTGTGTCAAGCATGTCAAGAGTAATGCCATTGTAATAGCTAAGGTTAGTTGCTTATTTTCTCCACTTCAGTACTGCAAGTTTTCTTTTGAATTTGTGGCAATATAATATTGTGTTCCTCATGTTGTAAGTTTACTTTTGTTACTCAAACTAACGAACCAAATGAACCCATAATGAAAAAAAAATGGGTCTTCTACTTTTCTCAGAATAACTGTATGCTGGGAATGGGGAGTGGTCAACCAAATAGGCTGGAGAGCTTAAGAATTGCTTTTAGGAAAGCAGGAGAAGAAGCAAAAGGAGCTGCATTGGCTAGCGATGCATTCTTCCCATTTGGTAAGAAATATATGCTAGTGATACACGATCTACTCTCTTAAATATATTTCGCATTAGGTTTCATGTTTACCAGTAAAGCGTATGCATCTGGTTGAATTCTCACTAGTTCCTGATTTTCTTGAACATGTTTTCTCGGCCGTCATATAACTGCTGCTCAAATGGTTCATTGCACACTCACATATTTCATGCATTATCCTGTGGATGCCTTTCCGTTCGTCTTTCATACTTGTGCTTGCATGTGCTTGATTTTGTTGAGAGGACTCCATCAATGGGTCGATGGACATCTTTATAGGGTTCATCCTATCTGAGGCCACACTTTGTATACTTGTGTGTCATGAATTACAAATGCATGGAAAGCACTAATTTATTTTTTTTTGGAGCAGAACATAACATATTTGTATACTTGGAGTAGAATTTAGATGCAAATATGTTATCATCTAAACTGAGAATACTGCATTGGCAGCTTGGAAGGATGCGGTTGAAGAGGCATGCGAGAAAGGCATCGGAGTGATCGCAGAGCCTGGAGGTAGCATCAGAGATGGAGATGCTGTGGAGTGCTGCAACAAGTATGGAGTTTCTCTTCTCTTCACTAATGTCAGGCACTTCAGGCACTGAAAGAGGATGTAGGTAGCATCACTGAAGGAATCCAAGGTTTATATAAATTATTTAGAATAAAATGGGGAAACTATATAATTCTAACGAGTCGAGACCAAAATTCTTAAACCAAAAAACACTGCTTATTGATTTTTGTCTCTATCGGGACATTGCGCTCTCTGACGCAAATTATTTGGTATTAGTATCTTAAATTTAATTAAATATATAATTTTTTTATCGAGATTATATATATATATATATATATATATATATAGGATTTACGATTTTTTGTAGTTGTCGATCGCCCCGCTTTCGTTATGCATACTCTCTCCGATCGGTCATCATCGGCTCTAAAAAGCTGCTTCGCAATTGGAAGTGCGAACGGGGCCGACACTGTGGAACTTCGTTGTCGCAAGGATCGGGATTGGGCGTGCATGGTTGAAATCCGAAGCGGTAGATTTATCATTTCAACCCAAAGTAAACGGACCGTAAAGAATGGACGCCTGAGGGAGTGGCCGCCGTTCCTGCTGCTGCCGCTACATGAGAGGAGCGGCCTCCCTAGGGTTTTGTTTCTTCCCTTGAGGAGAAGATGCGACACAAGGAGGGAGGGCCTTCGATGTCGCTCTCGACTCTTCTTAGAGCTGCGACGTCCGTGCTCGGTGGGTCGCGCGACCGCTTCCCCTCCGACTCCTCCATGGTTCGTTTCCTCAGGCCTTACTCTCCTCCTCCCACCTTCTTCGGTTTCGATTTCGATTTCACGTGGACTTGAATTGGATATTCGTTTGCGAGTTTCCGGTCTATTTGTTAGCCATGTTTTTTTCGCTATTTAGGGTTCTTATCAAGAATCGGTTTTTGTTGGCTTCTGTTGATGAAAATAATGGCAAGTAACTTTCTTTTGCTTTCCAAGATTCCTCTTTCTTGTGGTTGCGGTGGTTGGTGAACCACGGATTTCGTGTTTTTTCAGTAAAGACAAAAATCGGCACAAATGTTGTTTCCTTGTAAATCTTCCTCGTGTCCCTTGTCGGCTTGGTCACTTCTCATGGGCGTGACTGAAATCAACCTATTCATCGCGTCAATTATTTGTTCCCATACATTCCTTTTATTTCTAAGTGAGTACCGAAGGAATGGAATATGGAACCATTGACATGCCGAGTCTGACTGCTGATGATGAAGTGACAGACTTTGATGTGCACATGGTTAATAGAATACTCTTCTTGTAGTGACTGTAAAGGCCACGCTGCAAGATCTTAAGCTGCATTGCGGTAACATTCCTGCATATCTGAGATCTGCTAATTTTAAGATTCAATTGGGAATTGCTTATTTGATATTTTATGATTGCTGCTTCCTTTTTATTTGGTATGACTGATTCTTGGTTGCATAAAATCGTATAGTAATTTGCCAATAAGATTGTGTGTCACTTGATCATGTCATGACTGAATCAGAAATCATGTGTGGACCTCAAGCAGCCAGTAATACTCATAGTAGGTGGGTTAACCAGGCAGCTTTTAGGATATATCATCCACTAAATTAATTATTTTTTACAAACTCTATAATCGAGTTGCATCCTTTATTTTTTGGGTGAAATTTCGTATAACGAAACAAATCATAGTTCACATTTAGGGAATATCTTGATCGTACTCAAAATATTTGTCGTGCTGACTGTTTGTTTTATGTATCGAATGGATATTGCATTTATTACTGGAAGCCTACTGCTACAGAGATATTTTTCTGCCTTGATGATTTAGCCAATTATCTTGGTCTTGATATTTTTCAAAAGTGGGAAACGTCTTTGCAAATGGAAAATAGCTGGTTTTTATTTGTATGATTATGAGGACTTCAAAGATTTTGATTCTAGAAGGATTTCTTAGTAGTTCAGGTTGGGTCAAAAACTAGTCTGATTTTGCATGTGGAAGTATTCGATTGGTTAGTATGCCTTCCAACAAAGGTCAATAGCTCAGATATATGGATATCTTATTCCGCCATGGTTCTTTATTAAACTGCAGATAGATAATCAGTGGAACCATAACCCATCTTTCTTGAATAAAGAAGTAGTCATCTTGTGCATATAGATGTTAGTCCACTTAATTTCTTAAAAAACATGGTGTGAATCCTTGTTATATTATTTTTCTTCCTTTTAAGTGCTTTGTCTAATACGATACTTTTTTTTTTTTTGTCATTTTTCAGCGTTGCTAGTCCTTTCATTTTTCTTCTAATAATTTTCATATCCTTTTCCGTACGCATATATATTTTCAGTATGATTCAATACATGGAGTCTTCCCTTAATAAATTGTGAACTCGTGTTGCATGTTCTGGTGGTCTCTGCATTATAAGTTTTTCTTTTAGTTCTCTATTTCCTGTATTAGTTGTGGGAGTTGAATTCGCAAATAAATATATTGGATTTTTTGTTCTTTTAATTTGAGTTAAGATATAGGACATTGTTTATGTGGATCTAATAGGAAGTTTTAGGCCCATGACGGTTCACTTCTTATTTAACTTGCGCATGAATACATGTGGTTCCGAATGACAGATGAATGAATGGTCTTTTTTTACCAAAGATCCAGCTGAGATCCCATGGATTGATTTTGGAGGTGAATACATTGTTGAATCTTCTGGTGTTTTCACGACAACAGAAAAGGTATGCTTTCACTTGAAGGCGTGCTGCACCTTTTTGACATCCTAATTTTCCATAATTCTGCTTGGTGCAAAAAAGATGGCAATATCAACTCCATCTGCTGGGACTCCTCTGTTTGTGGTTGGTGTAAATGATAAGGCACAGGAACCGAGCATCGAGTGGTGTCTCTAATGCAAGCTTTACAACCATATTCTCAAATTGCGGAGGTAGGCTGCTTCATAATATGTTCCTCTTGCCAACTATCTTTTTTGTTGTTTGCCAAATGTATGAAAACTGAAGGTTTTTTGCTTTTGTTTGTCTAATGTTTTGACAGTACTTTTAGTGATCATACTGCCAAAAGCCGTGTAGTAGAATTTAGTAAAGTATGAACCACTAGAACAAATATGGTGATTTTTCAGTCACCAGGCTTGTGTGGTTTAACCGGTGCTTAACTTCAAGCCCCTTCCATGTGGAAGATGATCCAAAATCCTATAGAGATCCCCACTTTTTTATAAAGGTAAAAAAGTTGGGATGGGCATATTTCTTTCTTTCTTTCCTTTATTTTTTTTTTTACGATGCATATTTATTCTGCAAAATGATTTTTAGGTATGCTTGACAGCGTGAGTGAGGGGCCCTCCGAAAGGCATTCTTGGGTAACCTGGTGAAGATGTTGTCTCGAATGATTTCATTGGCAACTCAAGGTGTTGAGAGTGCAACCTTATAAGTGCCTCTACTACGGGTTAGAATCTGCTGCTGCATTATCCATTTTATCATTCAGTATTATAATTTTCCATCTAATACATCATCATCCAGGTGATGGACCTCATCTGATACCATCGGAGCTGTCATGGATTCGTTTGTGTTGTCGATCAAGTAAAAAAGAAGTCAGTAGAATAATTATTATGTGGCCGAGGAGCGAGCCGGAAAGGTAAAAAGCCAGTGGATGAAAAGAAATCTCCCCCAACCCATCAGGGATCGATAAGTCCATCTTTTCCAGAACGAGTACAGTACACCATCGCATGCAGCAGGTACCAAAATCTCTGCCTTGCCATCGAGCGACGGTTACTAGTGGAGTACCCAACTGGGATGGGCTGTCCCCAACTCAAAGAGTAAAAGAAGAGGGATGGAGGAGGAGGAGGAGGAGCAGCATGTGAATCTCTGCATTTGGAGGTCAGACAAGATGGTCCTGCAAGAAAAAGTCAAGGGGAGAAATAGTTGCAGGACAGCAACCCCTCGGTGCATGCTATTCATCCATCGCACGACATTTGAGGAGGAGAGGGGAGAGGGGAGAGGTGGGAGGTCGGTAAAAAAGAAGAAGAAAGGAGAGAAAAATGTTTTGCCTTGTCGATGAGTAGGTTGAAGCAAAGATCATGTTGTAGAGAAATGAATGCACATCAGCATTAATATCCAGTGTCGGTCGGTAGGTAGGTTGGTAGTGGGGGAAAGTATATATTCTTTGCGACGACAACATCATCATCATCGTCAGCGTCTTTTACAAGCATATCAAGAACAGGGATCTGGACATCGCATGTGAGACATGATCGCTTGCTTCCGGTTGCAGATTCATGAATCCTCAAGTTTTAGGAAGAGAAGCCTCATCCGCGAGCAGTGTCATACAGTGAGATCACTGTGCTATACGAAGCATCGCATGCCGAGGAGGATCCGAGCACCGAGTCGCAAGGATACGGCACTGTCGCTGACCCGCTGCGGTACTTGGCCTTTGGACGACAAGCAGAGATGTGCCTGTGCACACGCACACGCACAGTGAAGTCCTCGTGGTAAAAGAGACGGAGAACTTTGTTGTTGGGTCAGCTCGGCTCGAGTATGAACTTTCGCCCTCGGAGGGAGGGCATCGCAGCAGAGTTAAAAACCAGGGCGAACATCATCATCATCATCATCATCCGGTCGCGTTGCAAAGTGTTCAGAAAAGTCCACACAGAATTGGTTTGTAGGGCACAAGTGCATGTGAAAGACCTCTGTCCCATCCATGCACATGTACAGAATTCTTTTTTCCTCTCTTGCGGGGTTTCTTCCCCCTTCCAAGTTGATGGTATGCATAGATACATCAAGTCGATGATTTGGATGATGCAGGGTCCTCCGCGTGTCACATCCCCCCACCCCCCGGGGATAAATAAGCGTGTAGCAGCGAGCATGAACATGTCTTCTTCCTCGCTTCGCATGGGAGTGGGAGTGGGAGTGGGAGTGGGAGTGGGAGGGGGAGATGTCCTTCCACCGCCTCATCACCATTGGCCCTGTTTTGGTCAAACGTCGTGAGGGAGCCCAAAAGCCTCGCGGTGGGGCCGCCGCCTCAATCTTTCTGGCACATTCCTTTAGATTCCTCGAATTCTTGAAACCTTTTTGGGGGTTTTTTTATTTTTTACTTAGATTTTGAATTAAATAAATACAAAATCATTATGTGCATAATTTCTCTAAAATTGTTTTTTTTTTCTTCAATAGAATTTAGAATTGAATATTTCAATTTAATTTTCTCATGACCCAAAAAACGAAAGAAAACAGAGTCAAAGCCATACGAGTTTCTCTGTCAGGCGTTTCAACTGAAGTTGCAGTCTCTGAGGTGGTCAGAGAAGCTCCGTTCAGTCTTCAGTCGGTTCTCTAAATAAAGATGCAAGTCTTCATCACCCTCTGCTTCGAAAGCTTTCCCCGAGATGACGGCCAGCGACGCCACCTACTCCTCGTCATCCTGGGGTGCACACGGCATCATCGTAAACGTTCACCTTACGACAAGCTAGTGATGAGACACTCCCATGTCATCAAGAAAATGGTCGATCAGCAGATATGACGACATGCTGCGTCTTCCATGGCCTCTTGCCTTCTCCTTGGTTGTGGATAACGTGGTGCCATCTGAGCTTGCAAAGGCCACCTTGATGAATGACCAAGCCAGAGAGGCAGAGGAAGCAAAATCGTTTTCCTTGTGCAACCTCATTTTATTTTTTCTTTGAGGGACAAAAGGCACAAGAAAACAGTAATTGTGTTTCTGAAGCCCCCACCAATTCCTCCGCTCCACATTTCCGAAGAAAAACACTTAAAAACAGGAACACAGATCTAAAAAATGATTTGTTCGACTATCAGTTCTCTTAAATTTTCCTTAAAAAATTGATTTTTGGTGTAGCATTTGTATTCTCTGTTGCCTCGATATATTTCTTTTTTGCTCCCCCGTCTTGTCACCCTCCTCTATATATAGAGGGAGCAAGGTCGATACCCTTCCCCCCCTCGAATCGTCTCAGTTCAGACTAAACCAGTCGTAGTACACGTGAAGAGAGAGAGAGAGAGACTTGGCTCAGAACAATCTGAAGAGAAGAGAAGAGGGGAGAGAGAGTGTGTGTGTGTGTGTTTATGGGAAGAAGGGAGTATGGAGGAGGAGGAGGAGGAATGCCGGGATGGCTGGGCGCTCTGGTGGAAGAGAGCTTCTTTGTGGGGTGCGGAAGCCACGAAAAGCGGAGGAAGAACGAGAAGAACATCTTCTGTCTCGGGTGCTGCACCAGCATCTGCCCCCACTGCGTGCCCGCCCACCCTTCACACCCTCTCCTCCAGGTCAGGCTTCCCCTCTCTGTTTGCACTCTCTTCCTTCTCTTATTCCAATCTATCATATGCCTTTGCCGGATTGCTTCTTTGTTTACCCATCTTCTCTTGTTGCGGCAAAAGTACTAGCTTTGATCCTGCTGCTCGTTGCAGCGGAGAGGACTCCTGTGTTTCCTAGTGTCTGAATTGGTTGATTCATGAATTGATTTCAGTAGCCGTCGATTGTTGAACCAAACCCATCTTCCGAATGACTAATCTAGGAAGCATCTCAGGACTCGATTGATTTAGCCAATGCTGTTTTGTCTAAATCATCTGAGACCAGCGATGTAGTGGTGGCACTACTCGCTGATGATGCTGGTTTTACTTTCTTGTATGTCCAGTTGGGGAACCAGGAGAAGATAATGCATGTTGGCAAAGAATTCGCATATCCTGGTTTCCTCTTAGTCTCGGGCTTTGGAATCGCTAATTTATTCCACTGGAGCGGAGACGATTACTGCCATCTTGATCAGGTTTTGTTTGGCCTCAGAAAAAAAGCACTACTTGCTGCTGCTGCTGCTGCTGCTTGAATAGTGGTAGGAATAGGTGCGGCAACACTTCAATTTTCTTTTCTGATACTCGCAGTACCAATAATTATTTCCGGAGCATACAGTCCAGAGAGAGAAAGAGATGCAGAGGAGTACAGTGACCGTCAGAAATGGATTCGTAGGCATTGCTTCCTAAATGGTGGTGGTAGTAATGGCTCCATCTAAAGAAGCTCACATTGCTGGTTGGAAGATGAACCCGTTTCTCTTTTGGTCATTGTCTTTTATTTATAGGCATGCTATTTATTTTCTCGCATGTCTTTGATCTCAGCATCCTCTGTTTATCCAAATATGCGAATCTACATCACATAAACCGGTTTTAACTGCCGATGTAAATCTTCTTGTTCATCGAGGACTTGTTGGCTCCCCTTTTTCATGCTTCCTGATTCATTCTGAGAACCTCCCAACTTTAGCTGATACAAATGGGACTCTTCCTACTTGTGATTACTTGTACCTCTGATTCATTCACAGAGGTACAAGTGACTCTGTGAACCATACGGCCACCGTTCCAAATTGATCTTGTGGCCCTCTCGACACTCCAAAGCTTTCTATCTTCTCCTTACTTTTACCTCCCCACTCTCTGGTTCAGGGTGGTCTTCCCCGAGGAGCCAATACCTCCAAGTTTGGAAGAGGCTTCACATTTGTCGTCGTGGTATCATTACCTGCTGCTTTTTTTTATGTTCGAAGAACCAATTCATCAGTTATGATGACATCCAAGCAAATAAAAGTACTTTGCCAAACGTTCCTCCTATCTGCTCTTTCCGCTCGACATATCTTGCAATTTACTGCACGCCGCATCGACTTCGATCTATCAGCAAAAACAGCAATCGATACGACTCTGTAATCAGCTCTGTTTTGTTTTTTGTTTTGGTGACTGTTTAGGTGCGACGCTACGTATACAACGATGTGGTTCGACTGGATGATCTGGAGAAGCTCATAGACTGCTCTTTTGTTCAGGTGCTTCCGTAAATTCCCAAGACTCGTCGGTTGATGTTCCTCGAGTAACTTAGATCGAGTGTTGCCTTCGTTGTTCTCGAGTCTAGCGTATGATTCCTTGATGCCTTAATTTTGTTTGACAGCCTTACACCATAAACAGCGCCAAAGTGGTGTTTCTGAAGCCAAGGCCTCAATCTAGGCCCTCCAAGGTCTCTGGCAACACTTGCTTGACCTGTGACAGAATCCTCCAAGAGCCCTTCCACTTCTGCTCCCTCTCCTGCAAGGTACTGTTCATACTAGTTGTAAAGGGGTCCTGTGATGAACGCTTTTTGTCTCTCCACTCGACGCTGTTGTCTCGACCATCCTTGTCACGAGCGCAATCGATCCATCGTTCGAACAAATATGGAAAGCCAAATGTTACCGGCCAAAAGGGCATGTTCCACTGTAGACACCGGTGGAATCTTAAGCCACAGACAGAGATTATTAGAGTGTGATGACATGTTCTCAAGTGCAGGTGGATCACGTTCTGCTGCAAGGGGAGGATCTATCGAGCATATTGTTCCGGTTCGAGGAGTCCGAGCTTGCCTTCTCTCACTTCGAGAATCTCCGGATGGACAATTCCGATCCCCTCGACGACGACGACGACGACGACGACGACGACGGTCAGATCACAGGCAGCGCAGTCCTGGAACGGCCAATGCAGAGCAAGGTCGGCTCACCGTCGGGCCATGGAGGGAAGGGTAGCTCGGGAACAAAGAAGAACAAGAGTAATGCTGGCTTCTTCCCGCAGATAGTCCTGTCTTTGAACAACAGGAGGAAGGGCGCCCCTCACAGATCACCTCTCTCCTAGTGTCGTCGTCCCGTGCTTTCTCGTCATTACTAGATCATGTGCAGTATGTTGCCGGTCTATGGAGGAAGATTGAGGATTTCCATTACTGACTAGGTGGACATTGATGCACCCATGTTTGAGGTTCGCAGCGCCCACCAATTTTGTACTGATGCAATGGAATGCACAACTTCCGTATCTATCCCTGTAGCCTTCCAATGTAACGATGGGGATTTATTTCTATGCTCACTGCTGTCATCATCTTTGCCCGGTCTGCTCGGTAAAGTTGTGCACAAGCATCGAGTTACGTTTTATGTTAACTTGTTGTAGGGACAAGAGCACGGAGATTTCTCTTCTCCATCTCCTCCTGCCGGGCAGCATTTCTGTCGCTCACATAAATGGGGAAGCAGTTTTGTTGGAGGTGGAAGCTTTGAGCATGTTTCGCTTCTCCATGGTGCTTCAGTTTAACCAGAAAGAAACGAGGGAGAAAGACGAGATGAACGGGTTCGGCAGTGTTTGCCACCACCGTCACATCCTTGGCCAAGTTTGGTGTCTTCCTCGGAATCATTTGCGATGGAGATGAGTGCAGAATTATATGGATGATGTCTTCCCCGAGGAACCACCGGGGCTTCCCAGGTGCTACCGAACACCCACCGCCCACCCCGTGCCCTCTTCAGGTCCCACCCTCATGTGTGGTTGCCGCTCTACTTGGTGGAGGAATTCAAGAGGTGAACAGAACACCCACCCTCGTGATGCATCTCCCATCCCCTCCTCTTCGTGCCCCACCCTCGTGTGTGCTTTCTGCTCCGGTCGTCGAAGGATGTCCCAGCGCCCAGCAATGATTGATGGCATGCTTCTTCCTTCCATGGAACCAGAGTTTTCCACCATCCCTGCCGTGGCACAAACGCCCCCATTCGGTGCACCTGCCACAAAGAACCGGAAGATTCTCAAGTATCGTCTGCAGTACAATTCACGCACTCCTCTTTTTTGACTGCAGAGGCAAAACAGAGCCCTGTTTTTGACAAGAGGAATGAATTTTTTCCGGCATTTCTCATTACCGGTTTAGTTCCGAGGGCTGGCGATGACCGTGACATGATATGGCGATGATGTGTTTCCGTGGATGAACCAACCATAATGGCTTGGCTTCCACCCCGCTGTTTGCAGGAGAAAGAAAGCGAGGCGATGTTTTCTCGGTGCTTCGGATCCCTATCGTCGTACGTGAGTCACTCATTTCCATGTTTCCTACATCTCTAACTTTCACATTCATCTCCGCCGATACTATTCCCATGGGAGGGACAAAGATTTGATTCCCCCCGCCCCCCCCGTCTGCTGCGGTGTGCTCTCACACTGGTGCAATCATTGAAACAGCACGCACTCACTCGGTGGCGCCGTCTCCGCCTCTTTAAATCATTTATGGATATTTTAGGTGGCGAGCTTCGTCATTTTATTTGCTATATTCAAGAACATGAGATCTGACATCAATTCTCGTGTCGACGATAAATTCTTATGCTAATTTTTGTTTAGATATCAGATCTAAACAAAACTATAGTGACATGCAAAACTATAGTGAGGGATTTATTGGCTCGTTCACTGCAGTGGAGGCCGAGGCCCAAGTTATGATCTTTAATGGGCCTGAAGCAGGAAAACATGTTCTTGAGCCGGCCCATTATATCAGAACGTAGGCAAACGTGTAGTCGATTGAAAAGGAGAGAGAGAGAGAGAGAGAGAGAGGGCTGCGATTAGCAAGCATGTCTGCGAAGCAAAAAGATGGGATGAGTGAGTGAAAGCGAAGCGATGCAAGATGAGACCTCCACATCGCAATGATTTGAGGAAGCACCGAAAGGATGGAGAGAGAATGGATCAGGGCTTCTTAATTCCTCGTTATGTGGTAGTCGACTCTGCTGGACCCGCAGACGTCCGACCTCATATGAAGGTTATCTGTCCGGTGATGAGGAGGAGGACTGCTTCTTGCATCCACCAACAAACACAAAAAGGAGCTCAATAAAGAACTCCACATGATCCATCCCTCAACCCTCACTCCCATCTCTCTCTCTCTCTCCTTCCAACACTTCAATTATTGGGTCTCTTTTGTGGGCTCTTCTGCTCCTCTATTTTTTTTGTATTGTCGGAGGGGAAGAAGCTCCATGCTCGTCCACCTTCCAATATTTAAATGTCGTCGTAAGGATGGATCCATATTAATTACCAACCATCTGCTCTGTATGTGGCTGCCAAAACTTGTGATCATAAACAAAAACACACAAAAGAAAAGAGGAAGCAAAAACAAAAAACACTACTGGAAGCAAAAGTACCGATCACCGACATTTCTGTTTCTGGTTCTTAAAACAACAACAGCAGAAACACCAAATGCCTCGTTCTACGACGGTCAAGAAGAGTCCCCTAGGTTCTTACTTGGCAGCATCTCATTGGTTCTGAAATATAAAATGATGTTGCGGGCACAACAGCGAATCCTCCTCCTTTGGTATCAAGCCTCCGGGATATAGATCGATGCGTCGAGGCTTCGGTGTGCTCAGTCCATCCGCGCACCGACACGGAGATGACGGAGATGGTGGTGGGATCCGAGGTCGGGCGGAGGGGGACGCCGTCGCCGCCGCCGCCGCCGCAAGCTCTCCTGGAGCGGCTCAAGGACTACGGCCAGGAGGACGCCTTCGCGCTGTGGGACGAGCTCTCGCCCGAGGAGCGCGACCTCCTCGTCAAGGACATCGAGGTACGGTCCCTCCGCTTGGTGTTACTTCCCAAGTGGATCGTTACTTCTTGTCGCTCCATTTGTTGTAATTCTATAAAATATGGTTTCTTGAAGTATCTCTGTTGAATTAAACGGAATTTGAGATCGAAGATTGCTTTCTTTTGACCTGCGGCCTTGTTGTTTCATCGCCTAATGCGGGTTCTTGATAATTTAAGTTAGCCGGACAATGTCACTGAGGTCTTCTGGTACAAGAGATCCATTCCTTCGATCTGATTGGATTCTTGGAGGAGGAAATGGTAGTTGATCTAATTGAGCAAAGCCTATCAGGAAGATCGCATGATAACGTCATCTTTAACTGTTTTAGGACTGTTTTTCCTAAAATTTCTTTCTCCGGTTCTAATTACGTGCCGTATGTGTACGAGAGGTCAAATCGTTGTAAATTATTGTCGCCACTGAAGAATTTTGGAATAGGAGCGTTCTTTGATTCGTTTGGTTCTTGATTTTGTTTTCCTGTTTCGATGACCACGGGTTTCGTTTCCCTTCCGATAATGTGCTTGGTTTAGCTTGTTTACCATATGTATAATGCCAGAGCTTAGATCTTCCACGGGTCGATCGGATCATCAGATGCTCACTTGGATCTCAAGGTGAGTTCTATCTGCCTTCTTCTGTGCTTTCTTGGTGGAATCTCAATTGCTTGTGTTTGGATCTCGAAGGGTGATCCTTTTTCTTTTTCCCGTAATTAATTCTTGCAAACAATTAGGTGCATATTTGCCTGCCGTGGAGCCTGTTCCGGAATCTAGTGTCTCGACCGTAGAAGTGAGAACTCTTGAAGACCGAGAGAGGTGGTGGAAGAGGGGACTGAAGGCCATTTCGGAAGGGAAGTTAGCTGTTGTACTTTTATCTGGTGGACAGGTACGTAGTCCAATTAACACATGTTCTCGTTGCAGCTATGCTTATATGTTTTTTTTAACCTTCGTAGATTCATCCTTATCATTTGAATTTGTTCGATAATTACTGTATTTAAAAAAAGTTATACTAGGGGAAGTCTGTTTAATTCCTCCGTGTGTAATTTTGTAGCTAGATATTCCTACATAGAATCAGGGAGATGACCAGGAATTGTGGCATTTGTGCAACTGATGACTGGATACCCTGAAGGGTTTATATGGTGAACCTAAATGAACCACACATGAGAGAACCTTGCTCTGACAAGAGCTCTTATGCCTTTCAAGTCAGGCTCAGGAAAGTGGCAATGGAGAAAGTGCTGCCACTTAGTGAACAAGACTTTCAGGAGGTTTGTAGTAGGGTCTTACGATGCCAGGTTGGGAAGCAGCCATTTGGAGAATATGGCTAACCAGGATTTACAATGACGGCACTCCGAGTGTGGTCTGCGCCCCGTCAGCAGTTTGGCCCTCCCCACTTCACTATCACTCTCTTGTCGATGGCTGACAAGTTGTCAACAAGAGTTACATCCCACACAAGGTGGTCATCGGTGCAAGGTTATGTGGTGGGCCTTGCAATGGTAGCCAAGCGTTAATCTTGGTTCTGATGGCTGATGCTAAGGTCACGGAGTTACTTGGCGACGGTCAATTGGGTCTAGCCCCTTTATCCAAGTTGTCTTGCACATCCAGATGGTCACAATTGATGTCCATGTCAAACCAAGCCACATCCAAAAGATTTTTGGTTTTCCATCTCTTTCTTATTGGGTATCAAACCTTATCATATCTATCATATGTGTGGTCTTATTCAATAATGCTGCATCTTTACCTAAATATATAATATGCTTAAGGGATTTAGGAAGCTAATGGCTTGTTGTTTATCCTTGTTGTAATCTCACCTTTAATAGATTTTTTTGCCTAATTTAAAGATTACCACATTGAAAAACCTAGTGATAAAGCTTGACAAATTCCGCTACATTTTTATTGAAATTCACCGATTGAGATTTCAATATTTTTTCAATAATACTATCATGGTATCACCTTATTATTATTATTTTCTTGTGGTTACCTTTTCTTGATTAAATGCAATGAGTTCTTTTATTTACTTTCTATATTTGCTATATTTCTTTTTGGATTTTGGCACAGGGGACTCGGCTTGGTAGTTCCGATCCTAAAGGATGCTTTAGTAAGTTGCTTATCTATGAATTCTATACTTGATTACCTGTAATAAATTATTTATTTTTATTTATTGTCCAAAGTGTCAGTTGCAAAAAAAATAGATGTAAAACTTGTTCTCTCAACCTCAATGATCCATTCAATTGATTCGATATATGCAGTCAGTTCTTTAAACCCGCTCGCATGGTCAATCCCAAAACTAGTCCTTATCTTTTATATGTAGTAGGTACTACTTAAATCTTTTAACTCATTTTTCTTCCTTTCTCTTTGGCATGAACTGTTTATCCAATACTTTTTTTAGTATTGATATACCTATCTTTTAATTTTCCGATGCAATCTCTTACATTGGTGTTGGACAAAAAAGCTCCCTTTTCTGCGACAGCATTGAGCAATACCCATCTTTAACTAGTAATTCAGCAATCAACATGGAGTCAGCATAGTACTTCGCTTTCGTTTCACTCCTTAAATTAAAGAATAATTTTTACAAAACAATTGATACAGCTTATGGCATTGACCTTTCCCTCATCTTCACATCTTCTGCGGTGCCTGCCTCTTTGGGCAAACCTGGGCCTTTTGTTGCATAGAGTCATTTATACATTTTTACCATGTGTATCTGCATTTTATCATTGATTCTATGCAGTCTAGCTAATTATTCCCTATTTACCAACATTTCACATATCCATTACTCTGGCCACTGGTTGTACTTGATATTTCTTGTTAGAAGCATCATGATTTAATCCTTATGATAAGCAATTTTTTCTTCTTTCATATAAATATCCCTTTCTGTATCTAAGTACAAATTTCATTTTTATCATCTACAATCTTAGACTAGTTCTGTTTATTTATTTATCTATCAGAGAAGTGACTTCTTGTGATCGGTCTAATATCTCCCTAGTTATTATAGGAAACAACGAAGCTTTACCCACTTACAGTTGTCTTGCTAGATGAGATTTGACTCCATGCAAGGGGTCCTTATGCTTAGCATATGAACTTGATTATTCTATTCGTAAAGAACATCTTTCGAGGGAATTCCATGGCAAACTCAAAAGATATTAGGTTAAGAACTGCATCTGCCCTTAAATCCTCTCACATGTTCCTATACGTTATCTGACAGCTAATAATAATTTTCTGTTGCCCTTTTTTAAATGCTGAGGTTTGATATTAAGCACTTCTGTCAATTGCTAAATTAGTATACAATCTCTTTATTTCTTGTTTTAGATATTGGTCTTCCATCTGGAAAGTCACTTTTTCAAATTCAAGCTGAGAGAATTTTGCGTCTCCAAAGACTTGCAGCTCAGTCAAATGATGGTAGGGTTTACTACACAAATCCTTTCACTGTATCTCAACTGTCCGCTTACCATGTTCCATGTTACTGCCATTATCAGCTGGTTTTGTGCCACCAATCCCATGGTACATTATGACTAGCCCATTTACTGATGAAGCCACCCGCAGGTTTTTTGAAAGACATAAGAATTTTGGCTTGGAAGTTGATCAAGTAAGACATACATCCTTCCTACTCTCTGTTGGAAAAGATCTGGGCCGACATTTCTTTCTGATGCAGGTGACCTTTTTCCAACAAGGCACCCTTCCGTGTGTTTCAAGTGATGGTAGATTCATCATGGAGACACCATACAAGGTATGGTCCTCCATTCAAGATTTCTACTTCGCATATATCTAAAGCTTGTGGTTCCTAAATTCCGTATGCAATTGTATGTAGCTCTCTCTTTCTGCAACTTAGCTTTTATGACATTGTTATGCCGATTGGATGATCATCTTTGGCCAATAAGAAATTATCTTCTTTAACTGATAATAGTATTAGATGCTTTGTGATCTTTAATAAATGATATTATTTTACCTTTAAAGAACTTGATTGTTTTTCCATCCCTACATAGCTCCATTCAGATTGCCACTTAAAGTTGAGAGGATCAGTAACGTTTGACATATTCTTATGATGGATTAACAACCTGATTTCAACTATCTTATGTTGTCACTTAGCTCCACAACACTAAAAAACCTGAGACACAAATGATATGTAAACCCTTGCTACCAAGCACTGAACAATTCCCGTTGAAGTCATTGGCAAGTCTAACCGTTTATCTTCATTTCATGTTCTCTTGGGTTCAGACAGTAAGTTAATTTGCTATGGATTAACGTTCATATGTTCCATCATCCTTCTATCTCAAATCTTTTTTTTTCTCTTTTCTTCTTATAACCGGGAATATTTCTTTAGGAGTGTGCAACTGCTGCTTGTGGTTGATTCTTCAACAATATTTGTGCAGAATATATGGTACTGCATACCTCATTTGCAGTATGTCGAGACATATGTTTTCTACAATAAATATATAATTAGAAGGTACACTAATGCATATGAGGACTATAAAGCTGACAAATTAAGAAGGTGAGATAGAGGTATTGGCAGGGGAAGAATAACTTGCAAATATTACTGGCATTTTGGTGGGGTTAGAGAAAAGTGGTAGCGTTAGAGGTAGAGTTAAGAGGAAGGTGGAAGTTGAGGAAGAGACTGATAGAATATGAGGAGGATCCTCTACTTTTGTCCCATCATCTTCTACTTTTGTATCTACTATGTTGCATGCACCACCTGAACTCATAAAGAACAGATGCCCTTGGCTCAGTCCAATTTTAGACTAAGGCTTTAACTTCTTGATTACGTGTGGAGGTAAACTGCTTCTGGGTTTTCCCTAGTGGTGGTTTAAATACATGTGCTCTCTGCATACTTTCATAATTTCATTTGGGTTGGAAAAATTGCTGCATCTGCCAAGGCTGCAGCATATGATGCCTTTGGAACTCTAGTTTTTTAAGCTTCAGTACTGTTGTTCTTGCTGCATGAAATTGGTAACAGCCTTTTTTATGCAAATCCAGGTGTCCAAGGCTCCTGATGGAAATGGTGGACTCTATTCAGGTATTGTATCTTTATATGCATATCTGATATTCATATATTAATCTTATCGTGTTCATGTATTGTGTATTTATGATGCATATCTGATATACATATATTAATCTTACTGTAGCAGAAGGTTAGCTACTCTTCTTCACATATTCACACTTGATTTCTTCTGTTCTTTCACAGCTCTTAAATTGTCAAAGCTGCTGGAAGACATGGCCATGAGAGGTGTGAGATATGTGGACTGTTATGGGGTTGACAATGCATTGGTGAGAATGTTGTTGGTTAAAGTCTGGTGAACTGCCCTCAATTTGCAGCTTACTAATTTGACCACCTGAGAGCAGGTTCGCGTAGCAGATCCGACGTTCTTAGGATACTTTATTGACAAAGGTGTGGCTACAGCAGCAAAAGTCGTCCGGAAGGCAAGGAAAATTATGTCCTTTTGTAGAACATCTTAACTTAAAACTTTTCAGTTTAAACTGCACAATAGCAAAGTTGAGCTTAGGATCATTTCATCAGAGGTTCTCAATGATGCCTTAGTTGCTTATGTTATAACTATGTTATAACATAGTTATAACATTTCCGTATAATCATTTATAGTGTCGTATTTAGTTCATATCTTATATTATCATTCTTCAGTCGCAAGGATCTCGAGAAAAATTTACAATATTCTGATACTCTGGCTAATTCTAGTAATCTTATTTGGATATATGAACATTAATTGATTTGAGTTACCTTGTGTTGGCTTAAGTTACTATGTTCCATCTGGAACTCATATTGTCAAATTTGGACATAAAATCAGGCTTATCCACAAGAGAAAGTTGGAGTCTTTGTCCAGCGAGGCAGAGGTGGACCTCTTACGGTGGTAGAGTACAGTGAGATGGATGCATCAATGACTACTGAGATTAATCAGAGCACTGGGCGCCTACGCTATTGTTGGAGTAACGTAAATCATTATTCTCTTCATTAGCTGAATATCTTGTCTTTTAGCCTTGTGGTTTGATCTCGCTATACAGATCCATTAACTAAGATTGTCACTTTCACTATAACAACTGATTTAATGATTCCACTTGTCAGAAACAGATGTGCTTATATTCTAATTACCACATCTATGTAGGTATGCTTACATATGTTCACTCTGGATTTCCTGAATCAAGTGGCAAATGGCCTCGAAAAGGACAGCATGTAAGTTCTCCTTGGTAATTCGATTTTGTATATGGTCAGTTCTCCCATGAGTCCATGTTAGTTCCCTGTTTAATCCGTGATTGATCTTTAGCAACCAAGCTTGCATATTTAAGTAGATGACCACAGCTGGAGTCCATGAATGATTCTGAACTATTATTTCCTAACCCGTAATAAACTTTTAGAGTTCATCTATTTGACATGCCATGCAAAGAGACTAACAATTAGTAATTCCTGAGCTACCGGGCAAGCTATTCTTTGGAATTAAATCCTTGGGAATACGACGGACAAACACTTCCTAGGTTTTTCTTTTTACTAGTTTATAGTTATTCCTTGTGTACTATATGATGCATCATTATGGTAGTTTACAAGTTTTTCTTCTATAACTATATGATGTAACATTCATGGTATGCAATTTCGAATGGTACCGTCCGGTACGGGCGATACGTATCGGTCCAACGGTATATCGGTACGCGAACCGTCCGTTACCGGACGGACTATGCTACAGTGCTATAGTGTAGCAGTGCTATAGTGCTACAGTAGAGAGAAAAACTATTTAAAATCGCTCGGTATGCCCTGGTGTACCGCTCGGTATGCCGGTACCATACCGTACCGAGCCAACCTCGAAACACTGGTACGGTACGGTATTACATACCTTGGTAGCATTTTCTTATAGATGGTTAGTTCTCTTTCTTTTTAATGATTTACATGCATTAACACCACTTACCAAATGAGTTATTGGTTCATCCAATTCCTTCATGTAAGAATGTTCAATTTTCTACATCAGAAAAGCTGTCATTTTCAATTCATTTTAGTTTTATTTGTCTAAACAGTCATGTAGAGCTTGAAATGTGACTTCCAGAGCACATCTAAGACAGACTGTTGATTCCACTGCAGTTACCACCTAGCTGAGAAGAAAATTCCTTCGATCCACGGATACACTATGGGTTTAAAACTTGAGCAGTTCGTATTTGATGCATTTACATATGCTCCATCAATGGCACTTTTTGAGGTTGGCTTCCGATAAATTCCATTTTAAACACTTTATTGTTATTGTTGTTATTCTTCATTTGGCACGGACACATGGTTTCATTGGCTTGTTCTGACTGCCGAACGGTATTTTATTGAACTGATCATCGAGTGATTGCTTTGGAGAACAGGTCTTGCGGGAGGAGGAATTTGCGCCGGTCAAGAATGCCAATGGGGCAAGTTACGACACTCCTGATAGTGCTCGCCTGATGCTTCTCCGCCTCCATAGTCGCTGGGTGGTTGCTGCAGGCGGCTTCTTAACGCATTCAGTTCCATTATACTTAACTGGTAATCTTCCATCCTTAAAGCATGTATCTGTAGCCATGTTGCTGCTATCGTTTGATGATAGAATGCTACACCAAATTCCTACCATTGGTTAGATACTATCGATCTACTCATGAAACAAAATCAAGCCGCAACAAGAGAATGTGATGGTCATCATCTTTGTAACAGGTGTTGAAATCTCTCCTCTTTGCTCCTACGCCGGGGAGAACCTCGAAGGGTTATGCCGTGGGAGAACGTTTCATGCACCGTGCGAAATTTCATTTTGAGGCAGGCTGGGAAAACGCTCTTGGCAGCCTGTAATCTTGTGTACACTAATATTATGTATCGGACATGGTTTGCCTCAGCTATGATCCTTTATCTGAATTTTACCAGTCATAATCTGCGACACATGAAGAGTTTGTATCTCTCTTGAGTCACCAGAGTTTTATCGCAGTCGATCCAAGTTGGATCGACAATGTTTAGAGCACGGGAACCACAAGTATGTAATTTATATTACACTTTTGTGTTTGAAACAACTGCATTGTCAGCACTCCTTTTACATCTCCGTAATATATGATGAGTACCAAATTAATCTGAACCTTGTTTTTCTCCTTACATTTTTTCTCACAAACTACTTCCTCTATATAATCCCCATAATATATATGATGACAACTGCATTGTCATTTCCTATTGAAGCTGCGGCAAGATTCAGGTAAGATATGGGACGGTTAAGGCAATAAATTTAGAATTAAATGCGATGGCAATATAGCGAGCTGAATGATCGAGTGGAATGATGTATTCATCCAAACATTTCTGACTTGAGCTGAAAATAAAGTTGTGGTTTCAAGTGAGCATCAAAGGGTTGAGTGGTCAAACATAAACATGCAATCTATGTTACAATTGGAGGCAAAGAGAACTTGTTGTCACAAAATTATATTTTATTTAAATTCTTTAACAAATAACTTGGTTTCTTCTTCTCACGTCGAGACTATTTTTCATTTGGACTTTGGGGATAAAATACTTGCTGCTTCGAAGAACACACTTTGGCTTGATAAAACTTTTGATTGAACTCTCCCACACACACTCAAACCTTCACCGGGATCAGTGGCTGTGGAATGAACATAAGATCACTTCCTACTATTTTTTGGCTTTCCTCGGAAAAGCATATGTTAGTGATTGTCCTCATCTTCCAGCTTGACAATATGGTGATGCTCCTAGGAATGGTTTCAATGTGGTAAGGTGATGCCTCAGGAACATGTAGACCGACTCGGTGGTCACTGCTGCGATACGAACCACCATTCCTAGTGCCTGTTATGGAGCCAAAGACACCACAGGTCAACAAGGATAACAATACAATGTAACATGCTCTCGTTCATTTAACTGACAAACGAAAAAGACGATATATATATATATATATATATATATCGAATGAGCGAGAGAGAGAGAGAGAGAGAGAGAGAGACCTGAGGACCAAAGGTACTGCAAGAAGCAATCAGCAGAGGCCTTGTTGGACCATGTCGGGGTTCTGATCTTACATGATGACTTGTGTTGGTATTAGGAGAACGTAAATGTCTTGACATCATCTGCTTAACTTCTTCCTGCAGTTGACATCGCAGATCCTTCAACTTTGGGCTAGAAATAAAATAAATGTATTAGCTCCATCTACCATCAACTTGTCAAGTGCCTTGCCACATGATAATGAGGATGATTCCACTCATTTGTGAAATGCAACTCTGGCCCATTTACCTCATGATCAGATTCGATAATTCATGAAAATTCTTGGATGGTATGCAAATTCTTAGCTATACTAATTTTCTCTTATTTATGACTGTAGAAATGCATGTGAACTGGGAAATGTGGATAGAAGACTGCAAAAGTTAAACAATAAATAAAAGATAGATGGATCTACCCTGATATTATGACCATTGCCATGACTTGGTATTCCTGCATCTGCTCGGCAATACTGGTACCAGATCTTTTGTCCAGCAGAACCTGCTTAGATGATACATGTAAATTAGTTACAAATTCAAAGAACTACACTGGCACTATCAAAATATATTCTAAATCTATTATCATATTTAGTATATTCAATACGTGGATATGCTCTTGATGTTTGTTTCAATTGACAAATGCAAGGATGTGATGAGAATCAATCATTTGACGGTGGCCAACTCTCCAAAGATTCCCTACTTAATAATATCACATAATAGTAGGTGTACATACTGATCACGACTACATACAACTTGTAACAGTTTTCACAATCTAACTAGCTATGATCAAGGATAAGCTCCACCGCACCAACTTACATCTGAACATGAGGCTGACAGAAACCTTGTTAATTTATATAAGAACAACGGCAACGCAAAAGAGTACAATGGTTATTTTACATGGTTACTTATGCAAGCCATGTCTCCAAATCCATGATCAGGGGAAGCATTACCGAGTCCAGAAATAGAGGTTGATCTCCATCCAGGTATATGTGATTCGTACTCTTGTAAAGATCAAATTCCCACCGTTCTCCGCTTTCATGGCGTCCGCTAGTAACCCAATCAACAATGACCAAATTTGAATCAGAATGCACCCTAAAAAGCTGCATCTGGGAGTACTTAGCAGTCGAGAAACAGGTGACAGGATCAGGGATAACAGCTAGAAGTGCATTCCTCCCAACTCTAGCCTATCACATGAACGAACAAGTTACACATTGCAAAAATTACTAATCAGACTATTTCCGGTAGAAGAAATAACTTGGTTTCACTTAAGTGCATGGATACAATGACGAAAGGTAGAAGGTAGTCCACAAACTAAAAAATGTCACCATACTATAGTCAATCTCGGAATAATATCATGTTCTGCAAATGAGATACCTCAAGAAATTGTGCCGAACACTTTGAATCCACAGACTTGTATACCTGTCTAAGAAATGACAAAATGCAGATTAAGGCAGACGAATACTGCTTTGGGGAGGGAGGAAGGAAAATGGAAGAATATAATCAGATGTCAGAAAAGACATCAACATATTAAATCTAGTCAGCTGGATGTAGTTTTAACTAACAATAAGAAAAGTCGATTGATAAGGATATAAGTGAATCCAAAATTTTGTTATATCATGCTCACAGATAGTGCAGTTGACAGAAAAAGTTTAGGCTTTCATACGAACTCTTCTTCTGAGTATCCGTGTTCTTTGGGATCAATAAGATGAAAAGGGGATGAATGATCCAAACCTTGGTGGAAGCTTGCGTTGTAAGGGCTGCGGTGCAGCCATCGCCGACACTTATCTCCAACGAGATTTGATCTCCCTGTCAAATGGGGAAAGAAAAGAAAACGTCGAAAATAATCGATTCTGGCTTCAAAAGGCCAATGTTTTCTAACGAACAAGAAGACAAAAAAAAGATGAAGAAGCAACTTTTAACACCAAGAATTGATTACGAAAAAAAAGAAGAGGGAAAAGAACAAAAAGACAATTAAAAGAGCGAGAGAGAGAACCGAGACGATGCCGCCGCCATAGGACAGGGCGTAGATCCACACGGCGTCGGACTTGGAGGAGCCCACCTGTTAGTGGTATCAAAGAAAAACCGTCGATTAGCAGAGATGGAGAAGGAGACGGGAATATGATTAGGGTAAGACAGCGCAAAGAAGAAGGAGACGAGGATACCTTGTTGGGGAAGATGAGTTTGAGAGGGTAGCAGGAAAAGCAGCGGGTGACGGTGGACTTCCCCCCCACCATCTCCACCACCACCCTCCCCTTCTTCCTCTCCTCCTCTTCCCCTTCCATCTCTCTCTCTCTCTCTCTCTCTCTTCTCCGACGACCCCATCCAGTCTACACTAGCAAGGAAATGGGAAACGGGCTCGCGTGCAAATCGTGCGGCCCGTCGTACTACAGGCCGAACCATGGGCCTTAATGGCCCAATTTGGAACAGAACAGGTCGGCCCTCATGCGAAAAGGACTTGTCGAGTCCTTAGCGTGCATGCCCTTACAGGACTCTTGGACTATTATACAGCTGGGCCGGCTTGTCAAATACAAAGTCAAAGTCAAAATCATTCTGACTGAAGGATTCAATTCACTCCGCATTAGCGAACCATCTTGACCACGAAGCCGCGAACGGAAGGAAGGAAGCCATGGATTCCACCCACACCTCGCAGCACGGATCAGAAGTGAAAACCACGGGAGCACCAAGAGACCACCACATCCGACCCACCCCGCAAATCACGCGCACCAGACTGCACGAGGGTTGAAAGGTCCGCGTCCCTACGGGTCCCACCCCTCCCCCCGAACCCCCTAATCCGCACCTTCGATGGCGAACCGCCTAATTAATTAATTAATTAATTAATTAATTAATTAATTATTTAATTAATTAATGTTTCAACCACCGTCGAAACGGTCCTTCTTTGACTCCTAACGCTCTCGTCATTCCTAGCGTCAGCGCTTCGTCCGGCTGCGGCCACGCAGAGCCACCGTTTCCCGTGACCCCTCCCTGCTCGGCTAAGTTATGCTGTTCCCCCGCTAGACGATCCCTGGGATCGGCGGCAATTCCTGTTCCACATCGACGGAAACAGGAAATCTGCGGAGGTGGTGATGTTACCAACTTGCGAACATGTGCAGTTTGGGGGCACATCAGCGTTGGCTCACTTAAGCTGCTTCGGTGATCAGGATGCATATTCTGACCGCACTTTGTGTTGGCACAGATTCGGTAGTTGTCGCAATCTCTTTCGTTTCTGTGCTTGTCTAAATCTCCTTCACGCTGGTAAACACACGAGAGAATCTTCTTCGACTTCAGGATGGTGGAGCCGCAAATGTTTCCTTTCATTTTACAGTGGGAAAATTTCAAGACAGTATAATAATAATAATAATACCCAAAGGAATCAGAATGTATTCGAAATCTAAAATTAATTAAAATAAAAAAGACTTTATGAGTTCAAGTCGCAAAAGATCACTTCTATCAACCAAAGTATACATGATAAATAAATAAATAAATTTAAATCTCATCGATTAAATCACTGCTGTTTTTGAGCTTTCTTGCATTTACGGATGGATTAAAGGTCATACTTGGCCTCCAAGGAAAGAACAAGCAACCAAAGATGCCGTTAATATGTCGTACAGAACGATAGTTAAGCCCAAGCTCGGTTCACTTGGACTCGAAACGAAGCTTCCTCGAACCCACCGTTTTGTTTCTAGAAGCCCACGTGGCAAAATTCGGACATCGAAATCGGACGGCCAGGACTGCACGTTTGGTCGACTGTTGACCCCAACCCCGTTCACCTATATATGTCCACCCACCAACGATGTCGGCCATCCCTTCCTCCTCGACATCGCATCCGTTTTTTCCATGGCCACGAGCGACGACACTTCAGGCCCGGCCGAGTGGGTGCAGCTCGGCGGCTGGCCGCACCTGCTGCCGCCGCCGTCACCGTTGGCCGCGCCATCCGGATGCGTGTCGGACTCGATCGTGGTGTCAACCACGTCGAGCGCCACGGTCGACGGTCCGGCCAAGGGTGCGGCGGCCCAACAACCCGGCGTCGAGGGCCGGGTGAGCAAGCCAGTCCGGAGGCGGTCGAGGGCTTCCCGGAGGACTCCGACGACCATGCTCAACACCAACACCGCCAACTTCCGCAGCATGGTCCAACAATTCACCGGCATCCCATCGGGGCCGTACTCGTCCGCGTGTCGACCCGGCGGCGGTCCGATCTCCAACTTCGGTTATAATTTCAATGAGCCAATTCATCAGACGACCTCGATGACTCTTGGGCAGCTCCGGCAGCAACAACAACAACAACAACAACAACAACAACAACGACAGTACCTGCAGCTGCAGAACCACCAGTCGCAGCAGCATCAGCAGCAGCAAAACTATCAGTCTTCTATGTATACTGCAAGTGGCGGCAATAATACCAGCAATGATGTTTTTCCTCAAGGGTTCAACAACCTTGGCACTAACTTGGAGGTGGGTGATGGCTTTTTCTTGAATGGCATGTACAGCCAGATGATGGCAAGGCCAACCTCCACTAACGCCAGGGGTGATGGATACTTCTCTTGATACAAGGAAAGTGATCAGGGATAAGATTAATAATTCTGAGAGGGATGGGGGGAGGAGAGAGAGAGAGAGAGATTGTAAATATTATTTCTACCTATCGTCATACATGATGTTATGAGCAGTCATATGGAATCTTTCTAGAATGTGGTTTATCTATGAGATTAAGACCTTGATGACCTACAATTTGGTCTCCAAGTGGGCAAACTTGTTTTTCTTTTCGCTCGCTAAAGATGCATGCTTGAATGGCTTGAGTGCAGGAGACGTAAAGGTAAGATCGGTTGGGGGTTGGAACCCACAGATGGCAACCCCGGACAAGGTCAAACCCACAAGTCTCCATGTTTCACCGAAGCACACTTGTCGATGATGTCTTTATGTTGCGTGTGAGTGAAGTGCAAACGAACGGTGGATGCACACTTTGGACCCCTCCTCTCTCTCTCTCTCTCTCTCTCTCTCTCTCTCTCTTTCTCTGTGCACGAGTATGCTTCCGGGGTTGAATCTGCGATGTGGAAGACCCATTTTGTCAAACACATGTTCTGCTTTCAGGGACGGAAGCAAATTAAAAGTGCAAGGTTTATGACTTTGTTGCTCTTTCAAATCGCATTCATTTAGCCAATCCTTCACCAAATTTGGTGCGGCTCGAATCATCTAAGCTTCAACTTTGACCATCTTGAATGGGATGCGTTGGTCAAATTTGACAACGTCGTCGTTGAATCATCATCGACGCTTCAACTTTGACCGTCTCGGATTTAGACAGGGCTTCGACGGGCTCTCCATATGGGCTCATCCGGGCCTGCAAAGCGTCCAAGTGGGAGCCCCATTTGCCGGGGAAATGGGGCTGGAGATCCACCAATACGAAGATGGCATGGTCAACAACCGGTATGCCTCTTTGACGTGGGAAGATGACCGAGTTCATCTTCGTCGTGACTTTGACTTGGTTATGCGATTTGTGGGTGGGGACACAGTTCCATCACTTGCCACGTGCCGACCGCTAGTCCTGTTTTATAGATCCCATTGATGAGCGGATTTGACCCGTGGTTACCAATCTGATCGAGTCAGTAATTCGAGCTTAACGGCCCATATCATATCTATCAGTGGATAAACCCTTTGCTTTTCACACTCGCGCCCCTTGGATCCGATGGAAACAAACCTCGAGCTTTTAACATTTTCTACTTAAGACTCTAATAACCAACTGTAATATACAAAAAGGAGAATAAATAATCGTAGCATAATAATATCCCTCCGAAGCAAAAATAAATAAAAAAAAGGCCAAAGGGTAAAAGAGAAAAAGTAAAGAACCGTTATTTGGATCCCTTTTAGTGTAGGGGTCTCCGTCACCACCCTCTTACGGAGCAAGGGAAATCGACTTCGATCGATCGATCGATCGCTTTCTAATGGCGGATCCCAAGCTCGAGAAGGAGACGAGGGCGGAGGAGGATCGGAGGAAAGAGGCAGCGGAGAAGGCGGTGGAAGTGGCCGACGAGGCGGAGGCAGATGCGGGGAAGAAGGAAAAGAAGGGGCAAGAGGAGGACGCGCGAGAGTGGGGTAGGCCCGTTCGGGTCTACGCCGACGGAATCTATGATCTCTTCCACTTTGGGCACGCCAGATCCCTCGAGCAGGCGAAGAAATCGTAAATCTTGATCTCTTGCCCTCGCGAACCCCTTCCTTGTTCCTGCGTGATTTTACGTTGCTTCTATCTTTTAGACTGGCTAATCTTGCCATATCCTTGTAGAGGTCGAGTGCAGCTTTCTGATCGAAATGCTCGTTTCTTTTTCTTTTTGTGTTTTTCTTTGCGGATCCATTTGTTTTAGATCTGGATTTGGGTTCGGATTAAAAAAAGCTTCTTCCATTGGGTGTTGCTTTCTTGTTTTAATACAAGTGATTCTTGGCATCCGTCTTCCAAGTGATCACCAATTTATTACGTATCTGTTTGTCTATAACTCTTTTGATTCCTACATTCGGCCTTGTTTTTGTAGATTTACGTCGATGCTGGTATAGACACATACCGTGTATGAGAGCATAAACTTTATGAACGGGTTTATTTGCTCAAGATCCCTTTCTTGGGTGCTTGGTTATCCTTGTTTAGCATTTGACCTGTCACCTTCTCTGTGAGCTTAAGTTTGGACCCCATTTTGTAGCTGTACTTTTTTGTGGTGAGAATATACAAAATTCTTATCTATCATGTGGTGCAATTGACAAGTAATGGATTCAACTAATCAATTTGAACTTAAAACAAAAAAAAAGAGAGAGAGTTGCATATTTCAAAAACAACGTAGAATTACGAAAGAAAAACCAAAGTGAAGAAATATGTATCAGTAGCTTCTCTAATAATTTGAGGATAAATTGAGATCGGACATGCATAAGAAACTTTTGCATCTCAATTCTAACAACTTTCTGCTTAAACTCATTTAATATTAGAAAAGAATTAGGAATCTGATGCCATCTTATGGAAATTCTTTAAAGCCGCAGATATTACGGATGTGCGTATCATGTTACCAACTCTACCAACTTTTAGTATCTCCTGAAGATAACTTTCTTACTTACAATCTCTCAACTAAAGCGTAGAATCTTCCTTACGAGTGGTGAGAACTGTTGATCTTTTTGTTCATAAGAAGGGGTCCATGAGGCCCTCTGAAACTTCAAATGTGTAATCCTGAAAACTAAACCAAGAATTTAAAAGAAAGAAAAAGGGAGACTAACACTGAAAACTGCATGATAGTCTATTGCTCATGATCACCATCTCAATTTAAGGGTATG